AGCCAGGCACGCGTGACTGCTCCCTGGACACGCAGACCTTCCACAGCTGCTTCCACCAGGAAAAGTCGTCTCGCTTTCTTCTTCCCTCCCACCATCCACTCCAGGCCCAGCATCCTTTGGTTCACCAGTTTCTAAAGAAAAGAAAGCCTGACCTCAGAAAGGAATCATACACAACTTTGCGGAGAAAGAGGATTCAGAGAACAGGAAAATGCTTCCCAACATTCATTTCCCCAACGCTGGTGCCTCTGGGAGAGATGGGGGCAGCAGGGCAGAGTGGGAACGTGTGGGGGAAGGGTCACAACTACACCAACCCCACCCATTGAAATCACCAGTGGCTGGTGCACACATGCCAGGCATGACAAGGGACACTCTCTAGGTCCTGCTGAAAAGCCACCTTCTCATGCTCCTGACTGCACTGCTCTGCTCTGCACAACCATGCTGCTGAGGAATAGTTTTAGACACGTGCAATTCCTCAAATTTCACCTTGCTGGTCTCAGGCCTAAGCTTCACGAGTAATTCTTTCCTGTTACACTTTTCCACTGGGGGGAAGAAAGGAGGAAGACAGTGAGCAGACAGGCTGGCATGGGGCACTTCTCAAGAAAACCAGAGCACGTCACCTACTCTCAGCACACCCCCTCAGATGATGGGTCCAGCACCATGAGCTTGTGCCTGCAGTACTTCCCAGTTCAGATCACACCAGTCCAGCCCGGAAGCACCTGGAAGCCCACCCTCCGTAAGGTGCGCAGTGTGTACTGGGTCTCAGGCCCCCACTTGCTTCGCCTACAGTCAAGGTCCTAGTAAGCTGGGCACATACGAGAAGAAAACTCTAGTCTAAGTCAACTACACTTCTGATAAAAATTTCTAAAAGGTACGGCAGCATACACAAAAATGACAAGGGGGAGGAACAAGAAACCAAAGCAAATAATTGCTGGTAGGGTGTCTGCTAGATATTTAACTTTATTGGATCTGTGTGGCATTCGATTTGTAATAAATATACCTTTGGTCTTCCTGGCAGGAGTCCCTAAAACCCTTGTAATTTCCAAGTGACAAGAGACATAAGAATGTCCTTTGTTATTCTTTTTTTTTTTTTTTTTTTTAATTTTTTTTTTTTATCCTCACCCGAGGACATTTTTCCATTTTTTGTTCAGGTAGAGTGGGAGGGAGAGAGAGGAACAGAGAGAAGGAGAGAAACATTGATGTGAAGGGACACATCGAGTGGCTGCCACCCGCACAACCAACCAGGGCCGGGGACAAACTGCAACCGAGATACGTGCCCTTAGCGGGAACCGAACCCGGGTCTCTCCGGACCGCAGGCCGACGCTCTAACCGCTGAGCCAAACCGGCCAGGGCTCCTTTGTTATTCTTAACTAGCCATTTCAAAAACACCTGAGTTTGTGTTAATGACGTGACTTTTGGAAAAGGCCTGAGGATAAGGGTTGGTCGGTAGGGGAACCAAATGATTATAGCCCCAGATTTCCTCCCCGAAAAGGGGAGAAGGTCTGCAGGTTGACTTAACCACCAGTAGCCAGTGATTTAATCAATCATACCATAAGAAACCCCAAGGAGGGCAGCAATCTTCTACTCGGCGCCATGGCTGCCCTCAGACCCTTTGTGAAACCCAAGATTGTCAAAAAGAGGACCAAGAAGTTCATCCGGCACCAGTCAGACCGGTATGTCAAAATTAGGCGGAACTGGCGAAAACCTACAGGTATTGACAATAGGGTGCGCAGAAGATTCAAGGGCCAGATCTTGATGCCCAACATTGGTTATGGGAGCAACAAGAAAACAAAACACATGCTTCCCAGTGGCTTTCGTAAGTTTCTGGTCCACAATGTCAAAGAGCTTGAAGTGCTGCTGATGTGCAACAAATCTTACTGTGCTGAGATTGCTCACAACGTCTCCTCAAAGAACCGCAAAGCCATTGTGGAAAGAGCAGCCCAGTTGGCCATCAGAGTCACCAATCCCAATGCCAGGCTGCGCAGCAAAGAAAATGAATAGACAGATTGTGTACACATTGTATTTGTGTTAATAAAACCATAAAATTCTGCCAAAAATAAAAAATAAAAATAAAGAAACCCAAAGGATGGGGTTTGGAGAGCTTCCGGGTTGGCAGACAAGAACACATCCATGTGGCAAATGGTGGCACACCCTGAACTCCAATACTAGGGATGCTTCCTGACCTCATCTATGTATCTCTTCATCTGCCATTTCATTAATATCCTTTAATGCCCTTTGTAATAAACCGGTGACTTAACACTGGTTCCCTGAGTTCTGTGAGCTGCTCAAGCAAATTAGTTGAACCCAAAGAGAGGGGTCATAATTTACAGCCAGTTGTCAGAAGCACAGGTGACAACGTGGACTTGCGCTTGGTGTCTGAAGTGGGGGGACAGGGGCAATCTTTCAGGACCAAGCCCTTCACCTGTGGGATCTGATGGTAACTGCAGGCAGAGGGTGGCAGGGAAAGCCATGCACACACGTGTGACCAGGAGTGAGGTGCTGAGAGTGGAGGAGATACACAGAAATGCATTTTTCCATAAGAACCTGGGAAACTAACCCTACATTTAAAAAACAAGAAATCATTTCTGAGTATGAAAAGGTGGGCAGCCACCGCTTTTAAGGCAGCAGCCACCTCTCACAGCCGGGCACCATCCACGGCCACGTTTCCCACCACCAGTCACCAGCACAGAGGAAGGGCCTAGCAAGAGGCCCTCCCATCCATGTTCCAGGATGAGACGAGCCACAGGGATTGCTGCTCTGAGGACCCCAGAGCAAAGCCACAGAAGAAGCTCAAAGGCCAAGGCTATCAGAAACGGCCAAACATATTATGGGATAGAATTAGAATTTGCATAAAGTTGAAGGACAAAGAAATGTTCTATCTGTAGATGAGCATGTAAACACTCCAACATGCTTTAATGGGCCTCTTCTTCTTCCTTGCTCATGGATACCTAGGCAGTGGACATTACACGGGAGAAACACTTTACAGCAGTGACCTCATCACCCCGCATCAGCACACTAACATAAAGGACAGACTCCTCAAGGCTTAGGGTTCCAACAAGCTGAGGTGACACCGAGAAGCAAGGACGAAGAACGGAGTGACCTGGGCATGATGGCTGTGTCCATGACCATGCGAAGAGAAGAGGATGCCAATGCCACACATGTGTGGGCCGACCTGCTCATCAATTCTCAAGATTAACTCAAAAATTAGTGAATGCTTTAAAAACACTCAAAATGTAAAGCTTTCGACAGTGTGGTGTGTAGAACTGGCCCTTTTACATTTTCTTGGAGCTGGTTTTCCTAATCTGTGTTCCTTCCACACCCCTCAAGCCCTCGGGAAGAAAGTGAGGCAGTTCTGGCATGTGCATCACACTCAGATAAGCAACCACACTGCTGGGTCAGAGCGAGAGAGTAAGGCAGAATCAGTCTTCTTTCCTGACTTCTTGCCGGTGCAATCAACATGCACCTCCAAGTCCTAACACAACAAGGCAGCCTTCCACTCTGCACATGCAAGCCCCGCACAGGGTCTTCAAGGGGCAGAGAGCACAGAGCACGGTCCCAGGGCTTGCTGCGAAGGGCACACATGCGCCAAGCTCACTGCAGTCTGTACCCTGTCTCGTTCTGCTTTCCAAATATGAGGCTCAGCTTGGCTGGCCCTCAGATATACAGAAAAAAGGTTTATTCCCATGCCTCTCAAAAGATTCATTCAGCAACTTCCTTCTGAAAGACTTTCCCTTTCACTGTCTTGAGTATGGAAACTGTGAAGATGTGGAGGTGCTGTGTGACCCAGAACTGGGAAGAGCTCAGTGTGGCTCAATATAAAAGCTAGAAAGGAGGGGGGAGGCATGGGCATCATACACCCATCCCCTAGTTTCCACACTGTGGGGGAGACACTGAGGAAGCCACACTGGGTTCCTGGAAACCTTGTGCTGCCGATGATGGCAGAGGAAAGACAGGTGCCTTTGGGTGGTTCGAACAGCCACTGGGAAATGAGGTCAGTCTCACAGGCGGGAGCAGCTGCTTAGATCAGCTGCCTTGAAGGTACCGAAATGAAAATGGAAGACACGACTGCCTTCTGATGGACAGGCATTTCCTCACAGCAGCAATGACTGGTGTGCAGGGTCAGGGACCAGGCCTGAGGTGTAAGCTTGCTGCCTTTATTTACCTGCTTAAATATATCATTAAAATTATGCAAACAGGAACAAACTTTACTGCAGAATGCATAAAGAACTTTCACAGCTACAGCTGTTAAAAAAAGTAACCATTTCTCGGCTGGGGCAATTTTGTAGCCTCAAAAACAAACACAATTCTAGGACTAAAATCATGTGAAACTTAAAAGCCAAAGGATATTATATGATTTATCTTTATTTTTAAATACGATTTTCTATTGATTTTTTTAGAGAGAGAAGGGAGAGATAGAAATATTGATGTGAGAGATACATCGATTGTCTGCCTCCTGCACACCCCCACTGGGGATCAAGCCCGCAAGCCTGTGCCCTGACCAGGAACTGAACCGGTGACCTCTTGGTGCATGGGTCAATGCTCAACCACTGAGCCACACCAGCCAGGCCAAGTCCTTTATTTTAGTTCAGACTTAGTCCTTATCTGATTTGGTTAGGGAACCACACTGAGTCAGATGCAGCTCTTGGAGACACAGGTGTTCTTCCTCTTGGTTTGGATGAGCTTTTGCTATTGGTCTTTGCTTATGCAAAGCTAAGAAGTGAGGACGGGCAACTAAGATCTCCTTTCAACAGGCAAAGTAACACTGCCCTTTCTTTCTAGTCATTTCTAGTCAGATCACAAATAAGGTGTCCCTGGTCTGTGCCTGAGTCACACAGGTGCAGCCCACCAGGTACGTTATCAATCCGCTGGTGAGCTCCCCCTTAATCCCTCCTTCCTTCAGAAGTCAACTACTTCACCTCAAATAACATGGCACTTACCCTCTGCAATTCCATTTTCTTCACTTTCGACTTTGCTTCTTCTGCTTCCTTTTCTCCACCCCCTCCCAGGGAGATGAAGAGTGCAGTCCCCCACTACCACAGATTATGCAGTCAAGTGACCTACATTTAGCAAAATCACAGTGGTCAGCACATATGGAGGGCAAAGGATAAGTCTCACCTGGAAATGCCATCTTCATGGTCACAGTGTCTCCCTTGCTAAGTATGCTTCCTTTCCCCTTACACCCCTGTAACTGCCTGACCTGCCATGCACTTGTTCACTGCCTCACAGGGGCAGTGCAGGAAGCTCCCTGAACGAAAAAACGACTTCATGAGTCTGGTGGGTGTGCCTCAGTGGATTGAACATCATCCCACGAACAGAGAGGTCCCGGTTGATTCCCGGTTAGGGCACGTGCCCGGGGTTGCACGCTCAATCCCCAGTAGGGGGCGTGGAGGCAGATGATGGATGTTTCTGTCTCTAAAAAACCAATAAAAAATTTTTTTAAACAGAAAAAATCACATAATGAAAGCCTAGAGGGCAGTAAGCTCCTCCTGATGAGTGCTGACTACCAGGGCACATCTTTAACTATAGAGCATATTGCTGCGGCCTCTCCAGCCCTGGCATGCCCCTTAGCAGACGGTCAACAGCCCTCAGAGCAGAGCCGGCCACAGAGCAGAGCCCTTGCCTGTCCCGTTCCCTGTGATAGGCCCCGGCTAGCAGACTCTGTCTGGGAAGACCCCTGGAGATCATCCAACTCCCTCCTTCTTAACTAAAACCATGGGAAACACATCAGTCCAGTGACTCATGCACGCCCGGCTGCGTGCTGTCCCCGTCACTGCTGTGGACAACCACACAGCCCCTGGAATGCCGAGATGCCACCTGGACATGCGCCTTCTCTGAAATGAAGACATGAGACAAAAAGTTCACTCCTGAAGTCAGGGCAGAAAATAACCCTACGCAATCCTCCTTAGCTTTCATGGTCACCTGATATCTGGACACCTTTCTTGGGCCCTGGCCAGTCTGGCTCATTGGACAGAGTGTCCGCCCAAGGGACGAAGAGTCTGGGTTCAGCTCCGGGTCAAGGGCATGTACCTGGTTTGCAGGTTGATCCCTGCCCTGGCCGGGTGGGCGCGGGAAGCGATCGATCGATGGATGTGATGTTTCTCCCTCCCTCCTTTCTACTCTCCCCAATAATCAATGGAAAAAGATATCCTCGGATAATGATTAACAAATACGTAAATAAATACATATCTTTCCTAGTCAAAACCCAAAAACTCCACCTTAGCGTATTAGGAAATACAATCGATGTGATCACTGTCCCCTGGGACGTGTCAGTCAATCAATAAAAACTTAAAACGCAGAGCGACACTTCAGACTCTACCCCGGGAAGGCACACAAGCACCGGAGTGTGTAGAAGCGAAGGGCTGCAGGATGGGCGTGAACCGCGAGGGGAGGGCGGCCGCCGACCAGCTTTGGTTTGTCTCCAGCGGGACGAGGGGTCCCCGGGCTCAGCGACGGCACAAGCTCCAGGCCGCCAGCGGCGCGGGAGGGCGACGGGCGAGCCGGGGGCGGGCGCAGCGAGGGGCCGCAGGACGCGGCAGGTTCCCAGGAGCGGGAGGTGAGAGCCGCGGAGGACAAGTGTGGGGGCCGCGGGGAGAAGAGCGGGCGGCGGGGGCGGAGGTTCCGACCGGGGGCAGCCACCTCCGCCGCGGGCCCGGGCGGACGGGACCGGGCGGACGGGATCCGGGCTGACGGGACCGGGGCTGACGGGATCGGGTCTGACGGGATCCGGGCTGACGGGATCCGGGCTGACGGGACCGGGTCGGACGGGAACGGGCTGACGGGACCGGGGCTGACGGGATCGGGTCTGACGGGATCCGGGCGGACGGGATCGGGGCTGACGGGACCGGGTCGGACGGGATCGGGCTGACGGGACCGGGGCTGACGGGATCGGGCTGATGGGACCGGGGCTGACGGGACCGGGCTGCAGCCGAGCTCGCGGCCTCCCCGCTCCCTCCCGCCCCGCCTCCCCACGCCAGCTGGCGCACCCGGATGGCGTCACCGCGGCGTCGCCCGCCTCCGCCTCCAGAAAGCGGCGAGCAGCACCTCCCGCTCCCCTGAGGAGCGGCCCTGAGGGCCTGACGCCACACCTGGCCGTCCGGCCGCGTCCCGGGCCACCGCAGCATCTGCACAGTACGGGGAGCGCCCCGGCTGCGGGCCGTCGCCACGGCCGATGCCACATTACCTCAGCGACCTCGCGCCTCTGGGAGCGCGCACGCGCAGTGCAGCGACAGTCAGGTCACGGTGGTGCCACACCCCCCAGCCACCCCCGCGGGCTTGGAGACACCGTGCGCATGCGCAGCAAGGCCGGGGCGCCTCGGGACCTCTTTAGACGTCTACAGTGTCGCCTGACTCGAAGGGTCGACCGTGAGCGCCGCCCTGCCCGACGCGACCGCCGAGCACAGAAGCCCGCGAACGACTCCGGCGAGGAGCTGAGGGGAGCGCTTTGGGCCTGTTTGAATGGAGCGTCTACAGGGCCACGCGCTTCCCGGGGCCTCCGGGGGCAGCGGCTCACCAAGCGGACGCCGCCTCCTCCACGCCCGCTTGGCCCACGCGGCCGGCCGCGCGCTGCTCGGAGCTGGTCCGGGTGTGCGGCGCAGCGTTCCTGCCCTGCGTGGGCTTCTGCTTGTGCTCTGGACCGCAGAACCCACGCAGTCTCGAGGCCTGCACCTGCTGTCCAGGAATCTGGACGCGGATCGACGCCGGAGGCCCGCGCCGCCCGCGCTACAGTCGAGGATGAAACAGCCTGTTGCTGGGCCGCAGTGCCGGGCCGGACTGGTGACCCGCCCACGTCTCTGAGGAAGCCCGTCTGCGCCTGCGCCCCGCCTCGTCTCTTTCCCACGTCCTGCAACAGGCCTCCTTGCCCCACAGACTGCTGTGACTTTTATTGCATTTTGGAGGCAACGATGCCCAGGAAAAGGCCCCTGAGTGCAACAGTCATCCCGAGTGCCAAAAGGGAAAGGAAAGCAATTACCCTCGACGCAAAATTAGAAGTGTTAAGATGATTTGAAGTGGGTGAAAAGCTCAGCCAGATCGCAAAGGCCTTAGACCTTGCTGTCTCTACAGTGACGACCATCTGAGATAATAAAGAAAAATCAAAGCGACTTCACAATCAGCTACACCCTTGAGAGCCTCTCGGTTGACTCGCCATCGGGCTGGGAGACCAGAGCCAGAGAAACATGACCCTGAGTGTCACCATGATTCAGGGGAAGGCTGAGAGTTTGTTTGATGACTTACAGCGTGAACAAGGTGAAAGCGCTCAGAAAGAAAAATTTAGTGCAAGGGTGGTTTGTGAGATTCAAGGAGCGCCATTGTGTGCCCCACTTCAAGATGAACAGCACTGCTTCTGGCAACAAGGACGCATACCTGGAAGTGCTGAAAAGCATCATCGAAGAAGGTAAGTACACCCCCCACCAAGTTTTTATTTAGTTGAGACAGGGCTTTATTGGAAGAGAATGCCTGAAGGAACATTTATTTCTGTGGAAGAAAAAGCTGAGCCAGGCTTTAAATCGTCCAAAGATCGCTTGATGCTGCTTCTTGGTGGCAATGCAGCTGGGGACTTTAAGTTGAAGCCCTTATTGGTGTACCACTCAGAAAACTCCAAGGCTCTGAAGAGGTACTCCAGGCCAAATTTGCATGTGATTTGGCGCTCAAACAAAAAGGCCTGGGCAACCAGGAGCATTTTTCACGAATGGTTCACATACTTTTTTTTTGCCCTGATGTTGAAAAACACTGTGCCCAAAATAATCTAGCCAACAAAGCATTGCTCATCCTAGACAATGCACCGTGCCATCCAGTAAATTTGAGTGATCTGTCTGATAAAGTAAGAGTGGAATAGCTTCATGACAGCACAGCTGACTCGATCCAGCCCATGGGTCAAGGTGTAGCCTCTACTTTCAAAGCTCATTCATTATCTGAGAAGGACTTTTGAGCACATGCTAGAAGCAACAGGTGGGGAGGATACAGCTATGATCAGGGAGTTTTGGAGAAACTACAACATCATGGATGCTGTAGACAACATTGCAGTAGTAGCTTGGGAGGCACTCAGACCACCAACAAAGAACAGTGTGTAGAAAAAAATTTGGCCCCGGTGTGTTCAATTCCAGAATGTTTCCCAAACAAATTACATTGCACAGCTTCAACAAAACATTGTGACCCTTGCCAAGACTCTGGCTTTTGAAGAGGTTGTAGAAGCTGATGTGGACCAGTTGCTATGGTCCCGTGAGGACACTCTAATGAGGAGCTGATGCAGCTGCAACGGGAGCCAGAAGCAGAGGAGGAGAGTGAAGATGCTCAACCTGCTCTGCGTCAGCTAACCACAGGAGAACTGGCAGCCTTCTCGCATTTTGAGGCTGACTTACAGGTTCTTACTAGTAGCAGCCCCAATGATGAGTGGAAACTGAAAGTTTCAAGACCAATCAATGACGCGATAAACTGCTATAGAGACTTGTACAATGAGAAAAGGCAATGCTCAAAGCAACTGTCTTAATTGGTTTTCCAGTGTGTGTGACCAAAGGTTAATCAAAGTAAAGCCAGAAGCAATAAGATGACCTCCACGGTGAGGCCCAGTCAAGTCTCTGCCACCAGCCATTTATCATCCCTGGAAATCTTATTTTAAATTGTAGGAATACGCCCTGGCCGGTTTGGCTCAGCGGTTGGAGCGTCGGCCTGCAGTACAGAGAGACCTGGGTTCGGTTCCCGCTAAGGGCACGTACCTCGGTTGCAGTTTGTCCCTGGCCCTGGTTGGTCGTGCAGGTGGCAGCCACTCGATGTGTCCCTTCACATCGATGTTTCTCTCTCTCTCTCTCTTTCCTCTCTCTCCCTCCTGCTCTATCTGAACAAAAAATGGGAAAATGTTCTTGAGTGAGGATTAAAAAAAAAAAAAAATTAGGAACACCACTTTTAGGATTGCACTCTAAAGAAAAGAAAACACGTGCACAGATTATTTGTTGCAGCATTGTTTGTAACTGCAAAAGTGAAGACCCACCCTGAATATTCACATACAGAAGAGTGTTGATTGAAATGGCAATTCTACGCAGTGGAATATAGTAACATGTAAAAGATGTTAGAGCAACAATAACAGAATGAGGAAAAACTCGTTACTGATGTAGGGTGGCTTCCAGCATATACTATTAATTGATAAAAGCAACCTATAACAGTATAGTATGCTATCTTTTGTGGAAGAAGAAAAGGAGGAAATAGAATAAATATGTATCTTACTCATTTGTGCAAAAAGAAACACAGAGGGAGAAACCAGAGACTAAGGTGGGTTACCTATGGGGAGGGGATGGGAAGGATCAAAGGGGTAGGGGAGGAGGATAACACCTGACTGAGATTACCTTTTGTAAATTTCTGACTTTGGGAACCATGCTGGTATATCACAAACAAAAACAAACAAGGATAGGGAAATAAAATGAAATATATGAACACCTATATTTCACATTAATTACATACCCGCAGTGAAGGGGGAGGAAACACCTAAGTAAAATTTGAACACTATATGCCCTCAGGCTAAAGACAAAAAGGAACTCTAAACAAAATACTAAGCTCTAGATAGTAAGCTTCTTTTTCATAAAAGTATAGGTTAGCAATCCTGAAAGTATGTTCTGTGTATTCTTTTTTTTTATCCTCACCCAAGGACACTTTTCCATTTTTTGTTCAGATAGAGTAAGAGGGAGAGAGAGAGAAACATCGACATAAAAGGGACACATGGAGTGGCTGCTTCCCACACGACCCTCTCTCAAAATCAACGAAGAGCCCTGGCCAGCAGTTAGAGCATTGGCCTGCGGTCCAGAGAGAGCCAGGAAGGGCACGTACCTTGGTTGAAGTTTGTCCCCGGCCCTGGTTGGGTCGTGCAGGTGGCAACCACTCGATGTGTCCCTTTCGTGTCGATGTTTCTCTCTCTCTTCCCCTCTCTCCCTCCCACTCTGTCTGAACAAAAAATGAAAAAATGTCCTCGGGTGAGGATAAAAATAAATAAAAATAAAAAAAGAAAAAATAAATAAGTTGCCTGTACTACTCTAAAATGTAGATGTCGCCCTGGCCGATTTGGCTCAGCGGTTAGAGCCTCGTCCTGCGGTCCAGAGAGACCCGGGTTTGGTTCCCGCTAAGGGCATGTACCTTGGTTGCAGTTTGTCCCCGGCCCTGGTTGGTCGTGCGGGTGGCAGCCACTCGATGTGTCCCTTTCACGTCGATGTTTCTCTCTCTCTCCCTCCCGCTCTATCTGAACAAAAAAATGGAAAAATGTCCTCGGGTGAGGATAAAATAAAATAAAAAATAAAATGTAGATGTCATGCACCCTTTCAGATTTAAGAAGGCTAAAGAGACATATCAGCTGCATGGCAAAATCCAAGATTTATTGCATGTTTTCTGGTATATCGATGTCAATTTCCTGATGTCTTTTAAAAATTGTACTATAGCTGTGTAAGCTAATGTCCTTGTTTGGGAGGAATACAAGTACTGAGAGGCAAAGCAGAATCATCTCTGCAACTTACTGTCAATTGGTTCAGAGAAAAAGTGTGTGTGGAGAGAGAATAAAGCAAATGGGGCAAATTGTAAATATGTAGGGCATCCAGGAGACCAGTACATGGGAATGTTTTTGCAACATTTCTGTAAATCAAAGTTTGTCAACATAAAAATGTTATAATACTATTTAATAACCTGAAAGGGGAGGGGAGAATGCATCCTCCTCCTAATATCCAAAGCAGAGCTCTAGCTATTTGTGGCAAGGCTCAGCTCAAACCTTCAGGAACAGGGTTGCTGACAGCCTATCTGGATTGCAAATGGATACAGATGAAACAGTTACCAAGCAGATTCCCCGGGTTCTGGTCAAATCTGTAGACTATATCTCTGTAGAAAAATGACATATGTAGAGGTTTGGATGTAACCTGCAGTGGGATGCATGGTTTCCTAGAATCCAAGGGTAATGGGAATGGCCTTGAGTTTCAGTGAAGGCCCTTGTAGTGGTCTAGCAAGATGAAACACGTGCTAGACCTGTGACTTTCTTGTTGTTATGCTGGGTCAATAAGACAATCCTCCCACCATGAGGACTCTAGAAATAAGACAGCTTTTATTTACTGAGCATTCTCTGCATGCCCAGCTCAGCGCTCAGTGCCTCCTAGAACCCAAACAACCCATGACGTACAGTCTGTGTTTCCATCCATCTCATAGAGTAATGAAGCTGAGGAGAATCGGCATTCAGGCCTATGTCTAGCACCCCTGCCTGACCTTCTCCCACACATCAAGAGTTCTTACTTCTCCCCAGACCAGCTTAATTCAACCTCACTGGATGGGGCAGGCTGTGGGCTTTTCCTACAGCCCACAATTGGTTTGCCTGTCAACAAATCCTGCCTGCCTTGTCCCCAATTCACCACACACAGCAGAGTCCAGAGAACACAGATTTAATGAGACAGTGGCTGCAGCATTGTTCCAGCAGGGTGTCCCTTGCTGCTCCTCCATGAGGTGCTGACTGTGCAAACTGGTTCCTCAGTGGGTTCTTGTTACGGTGCCGTGGACTCAGAAAGACCATACATGATTCTGCTGGGAGACTTTGTCATCCAGAAGGGGTAGTTGGGGAAGAGGTGTTGGGGCAGGAGGTAACTGAGGGAGCTAAAAACAAAAGGAGCCACTTCTGTTTGACAAACGCCAGCATGCTAACATTTTCTCTGGACACTGACTGTAACACATAAACTCAGGAATGGCTTATGTCCCCACGACAGAAATGTGCGGCTGGGAGAAAGGTGCAGATCTGAGCACCTGCCCTTAACCTCTCTGCAACCCTAGAGGAGAGGCAGGCCAAGGACCCGTTGTTGACCCCACCTCAAGAGTGTTCACTTCTCGCTGTCATACTGAGGCAGGTCAGAGCAAACAGCAAGAGGATCATCTAAAGCTACCATGTGGTGCTGTCTTCAGCACCCTTCACATTGGCTGGCAAGCTGAGCTGACTGCTGGCTGTGGCCTCTCCTCTTGGGCTCCCCAGTCACAGGTGATGGGGACCCCAGTGGCTGGATTCCCCGCCCACCACCTTTAAGTAACAGCCAAGCACAGTCCAAAGCAGGAAAGACTCTTCCCATAGGCCTTTCCCTCAAGGCAGGGTCTCTGACACATGGAGCTTTCCTGCAAACATTGAGGTCAGTTGCAGCCCCCCCACTGAAGACTGTGGCCTCATCCTCCATCCAGGGTGCTTTGTCAGCTGGGACCTCACACACCTGGTGCCCATTTTCCTTCATGGGCTCTAGGCTTCCCGCCTGGAGCTCCCCAGAGCAAACATGCCCAGCATCTGATCTCAGAGCACCTTCCAAAAGGACTCTGGCTGATGGTCTCTGAGCTGTCTGGGTTCTGCCACAGGCACTGTAACAGAACAGACCTCTGCAGGGGCAAAGTTGGTCCTCAGAAACGTCACTCAAGCCTACTGTAACCATTTCTCTTGCCTAACCTGGACCTGCTCCCAGGGGCACACCTGGGGGTTGGACCCCCAGCCACCCACCTCAGAGCACCCAGGTAAGCTGGGCGAGGCCAAGTCAGGAGCCATGGCAGGTCCACCAGAGGGAAGAGCTCCGTGGTCCCTTTCCCTCCATGTTGTGTAGAAAGAACCAGTAACCCCTGGACTGGCCCTGTCAATTCCTGTTCTCTCCAGGCAACCTTTAATCTGCTAGAGGGAACCATGGAGGTAGGGCCAGGGCCCTCAGGAGACATTTGTGAAGAGCCCTAGCCAGGAACAACCAGAAGACCCCAAAGAGACAAGGGGCTGGGAGGATGGGAGCCTCCAGGCAGATCCCAAACCAGCCACTGCAGGTAGATCTCAGGCCAAGGCTCGGTGTGCAGCCAGCATCCTCGGGTCTTTTCAGCCACTTCCCTGAAGCCCTCCAGGGTTTCCGGAGTAGCCAAAACCCAGCAACCTTGGCCCCAAGGGTGTGGGGGGGCTCTTGCTACAGACGAGAAGCCCTCCACCACTTCCCTGCCAATGGAGCCTTGCAGTGTTGGGGTGTACATTCTGGCCCTCACAGCAGCACAGCCAGGCACAGCCCTGAGTTCCAGCAAGCACCCAGAGCTGATGGTCCTTGTGGTGCTTACACCCTCTGGCCCAACGTGGGGAAAGGTCCAGGAGCTGCACCCTAAGAGTCTCCAGAGCACAAGAAACACCTTGACTTTGGCAATGACCAGTAGGGTGGGCTCCAGACAGGCCCGGGAGGGGTGCCCATGGCTCTAGACATCCACATCTGGACCAGGCTCCTGGAAAAGAGACTGCTTCCTCAGGGAGAGCCGAGCACACTTGGGGCACGTGGTGGAGTTGTCGTAGTAGCAGTCTCTGGGGATGGGGACAGGGAGACAGGGTCAGACCCCGGGAACACGGCAGGATAAAATGCTAGCAGTGGTCTTCTCAAGCATCCTAACTCAGGTCCCAATAGCCCCCTCTACAGTTGGGGAAACTGAGACATATATTCTCCCAAATGGCATGGCAGGGTCTGTACCCATGTGTGCCTGCTGGACCTGTGACTGGGCACCTGTTACCATCTGACAAGGACAGTTAGCTTGATCTCTTGGTGTCTCAAGGACCCCGCCTGCCCCATTAGCACGGTGCACTCTGCCCCAGGGCACTGTGGAGGCACCGGGACCCAGGGGCTAAATTCCTCAAGGAGGCCGAGCAGTGTTTGACCTGTCACACACCATGGAAACTGCTAGCTCAAGGGAGTTCACAGTTTCAACATTAGTGCCCTTGGGGACAGCAATCCTAGCCTACAAAGCTATGACGTCAGCCGCTGCTATGACCAACAGCAAGTGGCAGCGACAATGTGTGGGCAGAAATGGACAGGGGATGCTGTTCCATCGGAGGCCACTGTGAGAAGTGCAGGGCCCAGCAGGTGGGCTCGTATTTTTAGCAATTGTGCTTATTAAAAACAGTTAAAATATTTTCTTCCAAGTTATGTGTTATTTTTTCAAACATTCAGTAAGTCTTTAGTTCATAAATGCTTAAGTCTTTTAACCAAAATACTTAATAAACAAAATGTTAAGTGTTTCTTTTAGCCTAGAAAAGTTTGGAAAAAATCGCTTGGACATTAGAGGGACCAGGAACTAGAAGGTTTAGGAACCTCTGGCCTATGCTAACCCTAAAAGGCCAACTTTAATCCTGGGGATAAGGGAAGTGGGGCTCACACCCAGGGCCCTCCCCAGCCCCTAAGTCCACAGGTGGACCTTGCAATCTGGTCACACACAGAGAGGCCTAACTCCCTCTCTCAGAATCAAGGCAAAGGGCTTTGAAAATCAGGTAGCAAAGACCAAGCCCTAAACACCTTCCTTCCTGCACCTCTCCCTGTGGCCTGAGGGTGGTGGTGGGGCCACACCAACCTGTGGAAGACGGCTGAGCAGTCACTGCACACGGATGTGTGGCTGTCGAAGGGGAACAGCACATCACCCTCTCTGCAGAGTTCACAGACGAAACCCTTGGCCTGGCACCTCTGGGGGTGGAAGTGGGGGCAAGTCAGTGCCGCTCCAAGGGCACCTGATGCCGAGACACATAACCCTCCCCGCCCTGGAGACTGGGAAAAAAAAGCTGTCTGACCCACAGTGGGGCACCCACCTCACAATCCAGCTTGATGTGCTTGGCGAAGAGTGTGTGGGTCTCGGTGAGCGAGCAGCCCAGGCGGCCCGTGTGCGCATCCAGCAGGTCCTGGACCGAGTACATCTCATCATTCTCCACAAAATGCTGCCGGTCCTGGAGCTACGGGTCCAGCAGCCATGACTGCAAGCCCTAGGGAGGGCCCCTGCCCTGCCCTGCCCCATTCCTGCCCACCCCCTATCCGGGTCCTGGGAACTCTTGGAAGAAACAGGATTCAGCCCCTCCAGCCACACTGGCAAACTTGCTATTTCTGGCACACCACGCACACTCCACCTCTGCCGCACCTGGCACACTCCACCTCTGCCGCAGCGTGCACACTCCACCTCTGCCGCACCTGGCACACTCCACCTCTGCCGCAGCGTGCACACTCCACCTCTGCCGCACCTGGCACACTCCACCTCTGCCGCAGCGTGCACACTCCACCTCTGCCGCACCTGGCACACTCCACCTCTGCCGCACCGTGCACACTCCACCTCTGCCGCACCGTGCACACTCCACCTCTGCCGCACCTGGCACACTCCACCTCTGCCGCACCTGGCACACTCCACCTCTGCCGCACCTGGCACACTCCACCTCTGCCGCACCGTGCACACTCCACCTCTGCCGCACCTGGCACACTCCACCTCTGCCGCAGCGTGCACACTCCACCTCTGCCGCACCGTGCACACTCCACCTCTGCCGCACCTGGCACACTCCACCTCTGCCGCACCGTGCACACTCCACCTCTGCCGCACCGTGCACACTCCACCTCTGCCGCACCGTGCACACTCCACCTCTGCCGCACCATGCACACTCCACCTCTGCCGCACCTGGCACACTCCACCTCTGCCGCACCTGGCACACTCCACCTCTGCCGCACCTGGCACACTCCACCTCTGCCGCACCCAGCACACGGCACTTCTTTCCTGTCCTGATCCTAGCATTTCCCCCCTTCTGTGCCTCATCTTGCCCACAGACCTCGCCAACCCCGTGAACAGCTTATTTTTCTTGTCTTCCCCACCTGAAGGGCATCCTCTGAATTGAGGGCAAGGCTCTTGTTTTGTTCACAGCCCCCCAGAATCTGCAGCAGTGCATGCTATAGCAGACACTCAGTGAATATTGGCTGAACAAATACATAGGTCAGCCTTGAAAAGTGTGCTTTGTGGTCAACCCTGCCTGGGCAGGCCTGTGCCTGGCCCACGCCATGGAGATTCACGTCGAGGCTGCAGGGACGATGCCTGCTTCTCTCAGTGTCCCCCACACTGATGTAACCAGAAAATACTTTATGGGTAGGATGTCTGTTTGTTTATGACAGACCTTGTGTTGCCTGGGACAGTGTGGAAGACCCTCTGCTAAAGGCACAACAAACAGAAAATATCAAGCCATCTGAAAAAGACCTGAGTTGACATGTCCTTCTCTGTCTGGCTGTCTCCCACCTGCCCTCCCACCACCCAGGGGCGGGGGCGGGTCTGACCTGCAGGAGCAGCCGTGCCTCCATGGCCTCCTTGCAGGTGATGAAGTAGGGCTTCATGAGCAGGATGTCCTGGCGCAGCTTCTGTGGACAACAGAGGCAGGTGAGCTTCCTAGGCCAGGGCAGGGGCTGCCCCGTGGCACTGCTGTGTGGCCACAGGGACTGGCCCTGTAGGGAGTCATGCCATCTTGCACTCTGGATCAGAACCTTTCCACCCCCTAGGAAGGGCCCAGATCTGAGTGCTCCAGCCAAGCTCAAGTTCAAAGCGCAGCTTCCAGGCCAGGCAGGACCCTGAGGCTCAGTCACCCTGTCACTCTACCCCCCACATCTAAGGATGCAGAGCCGTCTGAAGCCCAAGTGGCTGTGGCAACCAAACAGGCTCTGCCCGTCACATGCCCTTTACACGGAATGCAGTCCCTCCTGGCCACCTCATGGGAGACAGGCTCACAGCTGCCTCACCAGCCACGCACAACTCCTGAGCACTAGAACTGGCTGGGCTGGCGAGACTGCTGCAGGTAGGGTGCACACAGGGATTGAAGGGCAGCACACAACAAAGAAAAAGAGTGTAATGTTTCAGTCATGAATATTGATTACGTTGAAACAATCTTTTGGACATATTATTCAAAATAACTTTATCTGCTTCTTCTTACTTTTTTAATGTGGCTACTAAAAAAGTTCAAATTTCCTCCAGACCTAGCGTGAGACTAACACTGGACGTTGCTCTAGAGTCTTTAACCCAGAGGACAGCTGACTGGCCAGTCGCCTAAACAGGTGGGTCTCTCCTCCGCTCCCACAATGCAGGGTCCACCTGCCCTGTCCCTGTCTCACCCGGATCTCCACCAGCTCCTCCACGTAGTTGAACAGCAGAGGGTTGATCTCCCGGAGCCTGAGCACTGGCCGCGACACCATCAGCGCCAGGTACCGCATGCTGCAGCGGGACACCTGCGGAGGGCCGGAGCCAGTGGTCCCTCCAGCACTACACCGGACCCCACTCACAGCCACGCCCCCACTGGCCACACCCCTAGCCTGGACACACCGCCAGCCAGCTCGGAGCGTCCATCCCTCCTTGGTCCACGCCCCTCACCTATCTCTTTGCCCCAGGGCCACGCCTGGCCCCCCATACTCACCTTGCGAGGCTCGAAGTCCCAGTTGTGCACCACACGCGCCGGGATGACGGCCAGGTCGTTCCAGTGGCAGTGGCTGCAGTAGTACTGGCCCGTGTAGTCGCACTGCCGGGCCTCACTAGGCACACCCCCTGGGGTCGTCACAAAGTCGGGGCTACTTTTAGGGTGCCAGCCACACGCACGCGGCTTCTGCGTCACATGGTGCTGGTCCTGTCGCCCAGCTATGCCCCCGGCACACTGGAGAAAGAGCCAGTGGAGCCCAGCTTCCGCCCTGCAGACCTGACCACCCTCTTCCCAGCCACGAGACCTCAGGCAGTCAGGGCACCTCATTGGCCTCCTTTGCTCACCAGACCTCAGACTGCCTGTCAGGACTGCTGAGGGTTCCCTATGCATTAACATCACTAAGTCTCTAAGGCCTGACACACAGTGCGTGACTACTGCAGGGTTTTCCTAGTCCTAGTCCCCACCTAGGTGGGCTTTCGGTGAAAATAGGGCCACACACAGGAGGCTGAGTGCAGGCCCACCAGCCCTGCATTACCTGGGCTGAAGGTGATCTGGGCCGAAACCCCAGTCTACCTGTACGATGTGGAAAAGTGGCACAGCAGCCCTTTGTCACTTTCCCAAGAAAGAGAGACGCTGTCTGCAGAAGCCATGCCAGCCTTAGCCACCTGATCCAGCCAGTGTTCTCACCCAGCAGTTGGCCTGTTACCCTGCTCAGAACAGCTGCCCTCAGCCCCGCCCCTTCCTGGGCACTCACGCAGAGAGATGGGCGCTCGGCACTCGGCACATCGGTAATCCTGGCTGTCCAGCCCAGCCTCTGGGCAGATGTTGAGCTCGTACTCAGCTTGGTGGCTGACTTTGGAGCGCACACAGGGCTTGGAGATGAGGTTCAAGCACTTGCTGTGACAGCGGTAATAACACCCTGGGTGGGGGGGCACCAATAATATGCCTCTTAGAGGTGGTGGGGGGGATCCTGCAGCCCAGGCTGGCCTCCAGCTGCCAGGACCCCCAGAGAGTCAACTCCGATTTCCAGACCAAGCCAAAAGGGTCTCACGGCAGGTCCCTTGGTCCTCATCCTGAGCCTTGCCCTGAAGGACTGTGCAGACTCTGCCCCTGACCTCCAGAGTCGAACCTGCTATTCCCACCTGAACACCTAAAGGGTTTCACACCCACTCTGTCTGAGGGGAACTTTGGCTCTTCCTTACCAAACCCACCCCAGACAGTGTTCCTATCTCAGACCTCAGAAACCCCATCATTCTACCTGCTGAGACTGAACATTGTAAAGTCTCCCAACTCTTCTCTCTTGCACCCATTTCCAGTCCTTCAGCTAGTTCTTTGGACAGTGGACACTTCTCACCCCCAACCGCCCCACCCTGGGCAGAGTACCATAATCCTCCCCCTCCACCTTTGCATCCCTTTAGTCCACGCCCAGCTCAGCAGCCAGAGCGACCCTGTCACAACCTAAGTGTGCGCAGCATCTGCCTAAGGCCACCAGCTCACTCACAGAGAGGCCCCAGCAACCTCTCAGCCCACATCATGCACACCTCCTCTCAGGCACAGTGCTCCAGCCATGCTGCTCTCTGCTCAATGAAAACACCTCACACACTGACCACAGGGCCTTTGCAGACACCTCTCAGCCAGAACCTTCTTCCCCAAAAATATAACTGCTTGCTCCCTGACCTTTACGTTTTTGCTTAAATGTATTGTGATGCCTTTTCATTCCACCCTAAAGTCACAGTCACCCCACTCCTTGACACGAGCTTTCCCTTTCCATGTTTTTCTTCATTGTACTATATAATCTAACACACCACGTCCTTTACTTATTATTTTCATCCGGTGGAATTTTCTGCAATGACGGAAGTACTCTCTGCACTGCCCTCCTGTGGCTGCTGAGCACTTGCAATGTGGATAGTACAACTGAGAAACTAAATATTTATTTGAATTCGTTTAAATTTAAGGTTGAATAGCCACGTGTGGCTAGTGGCCACCATAGTGAAAACATAAATGTGGACGTGAGCCTGGTGAAGGTGGGGGCAGGGTCTCTCATCCCTTGTGCATGCCCGAGGCTCAGTGAACACCAAGTACAGTTGAGAATTAATTCATCTGAATACAACCTAGATACCGCAGCAGACCTGCAGGGTCTCTGTCCTGCCCTGGGGACCCGACTGCCCACTCAGAAAAGCTGGTCTGGGTCTCAGCCCACCTGTGCAGGTGTACCAGGTCTGAATGAGCCCCCAGATGATGGTGTTACATTTGTCACAAGTCTGCTTGACACTCTTGCTCTTCTCCTTGTAGAAACGGTGCTCCAGGAGGACTCGAATGTTGGGCTCATCTTCATTGGGGTCCTGGAGAGAGGCCCAGGGAAGGGTCACAGGTGAGCCGGGCTGAAGCTCCTTTCCCTTCACACAAGCCTCTTGACTGGCTTCTTCCAGGTACCATTTGTACCGGATTGAGTTCCTCCCAATGTCACCCCCTTTTCTCTTTGTCAGCGGAGCACCCCAGTGATCAGTTGGGCCTGGGCCCCCTTTGCAGCACCCAGGGGCTGCACCTAGGGCCAAGGGCAGTGAGCAGGGCTGACATGGCCTTCTCTGCCCTTCCCCCCCTGTTTTCTGCTGGCTCAGTGCAGCCCAGGTGGGGAGTGGGGCCACTTCAGAGTCCCATCCCACCCCCGGGACTGCCAGAGCAACAGAAAAGGAGGACCTGGGGTCCCTATCACCATTAGCTGCCAAATGGGCCCTGGACCCCCTATGGCATTTCTACAGTAAAATAACACATTCAATTCATTTAAGCTCCTGTATTTTGGAGTCTTTGTTACCACAGCCTTACCTACATCCTAATGAATACTCCACTTTCTAAATTCCCAGGGACTCGTGGGCCAGTGCAGGGACCTGGTGCAGCCAAGCCAGATGCACAGACTCTAAGACTACATTATGGACGTGTGGTTTTTGGCTGCCAGGGTCCATTATCCCTATTGTGTCACCTCCAGGAAGCCCCATATTCCAACCTGTGTCATGTGGTTCAAAGTGGGACTTACCTCACCCAATTGCTACAGTGGGTGGACACATGACCCAGGACTGGCCAGTTAAGATCAGACTGATAACCTGGCCAGTGTGGCTCAGGGGATTGAGCATCGTCCCATGGACTGAGGTCCTGGTTTGATTCCCAGTCAGGGCACATGCCTGGGCTTTGGGTTCAATCCCCGTGAGGGGTGTGCAGGAGGTGGCCGGTTGATGTTTCTCTCTCACATTGATGTTTCTATCTCTCTAAAAAAAATCAATAAAAAATATTTTTAAAAATATCAGACTGACAGAGTAGTCTGCACATGGAGTGAGAGCCCATCTCTCTACCCACCTTTCTGTGTAGCCTCTGCCTCAGCCCCTGGGAGGGAGCCAGAGGCTACCCTAGGCCCCCAGACCTCCGCTCAGTTCTGGCTGCCTCCTTGGTGGGCTGGGCCAGCACCTACCTTTAGCTCCTGCAGCTTCAGCCTGAGGTGGATGAGCCTCACAACGGCGTCCTTCTGCCTCTCCGAGTGCTCAGGCAGCTCCAGAATCATCTGCTTGCACTCCTCAATGGCCTGCTGCAGCTGCTGGATGTCGGAGGCCAGGAACAGACCCTGGGGCGGGGTGGGCGGGGATACACATCAGATGCCTGCCCCTCGCTCTCCTGTCCAGGCCAGGCCCATCCTCAGGGACAGTTGGGCCCAGAGCAGACCTCCCCCACTCTGCTTGCCTAGAAGGGGTCAAGAACTTGTTCAAGGCCCAGAGAAGTTAGCAGCCCAGGTAGGAACGGCCCTCTACCCCCTGCCCCCCAGCTGGACCCATCTACCCACAGGCCTCTGAAGACCTAATTCAGGATGTTTTTCAAAACACAACTTCCTTCTTTTAGAAATCCAATTGCTCTTCTGGCTATCCTATTTTGCTAAAACTGGGGAAATGACACTCGCCTGTCATCAAGGAGAGGAAGTGGCCACTGGCTTAATCCCCAGGCTCAGAGACACTCCAAGCACCCACCACCCACCTCCAGCCCCAGCACTTCACAGTGACGCAGCAAAGCCCGGGGGAAGGAAGACAGCTTGGGTCTAAGAGCCGAGGCCCTCAGAGCCGTCCTCCTGCAGCTGCTGGCTCGAGAAGACCAGTGTACGGCTCATCAGGGGCCTCAAAAGGGATTCAAAGCACATAAATAAAATAGGTATCTGTACAGCAAAGTTTCAAGCCACACACCAAATGAGAGGTTCATTAGAACTTGGGACTTTGAGATGAATCTTTTTTGATTGAAGTTACATTTGAATGTTATTATAATGCATCTCTCAAATAAAAGTTAGATACTGTTTGCATAAAACTAAATGATTTGCAAAATTTTTGTTTAAAAATCACTAAAGCCTGTTAATTTTTATTTTAAATAAGGTTTTGTATTTTAATATTTTTTTACTGACTTTTAGAGAAAGGGGGGGGGGGAAGAGAGAGAGAGAGAGACATCAATCAACTGCCTCCTGCATGCCCCTCACTGGGTGTGCCCTGACTGGGAATTGAACCAGCAACCTTTAGGTGCAGGGGATGACACCCACCCAACCAACTGAACCACAAAGGCCAGGGCTTAAATTAGCTTTTCATGCAACAAAACATAGAACAGACAAGAGTGGCCATGCTGAGCTGAGTAAGTGGTGGGGCAGTCAGGGGGCTTCCCTCTCTCCCTCCCTCACCCTCACCCTGCAGTGTGTCTACAGGACCCCAGGTGAAGTCAGTCCTCACATTTACTTCACCAGAACCTGGAGCGTAGGAAGAGGAACAGTCCTACATGAGAATAGCAGCCCCTAGATCCGGAACCCCAGGTCCAACCCATTTCCACCAGCCCTCAGATAGGTTTTGGCAGTGAGTGTCAGGTGTCACAAGGACCTCAGATTTGAAGAACCCTGGCTTGGATGGACATGGCCCCTTAGCCTGAGGGTGAAACAACAAGAATATGTCTGGGCCCTGGAGAGTCTGGCTCAGCGGTTAGAGCGTCGGCTGGCGGACCAGAGAGTCCTGGGTTCGGTTCCCGCTAAAGGTATGTACCTCAGTTGCGGTTTGTCCCCAGCCCCAGTTGGGGTCGTGTGGGTGGCAACCACTCGATGTGTCTCTCTCATGTCAATGTTTCTCTCTCTCTCTTCCCCCCTCTCTCCCTCCCGCTCTATCTGAAGATAAATGCAAAAATGTCCTCGGGTGAGGATAAAAAAAAAGAAAATGTCTGGCTCCTCACAGCTTGGAAGCTTACCAGTGCCCCCGCCCCCAGACCCTGAACCTTACCACGGGGCGGGAGAAGTGGTCCTCAGATAGACCGAGATCCATCACACGCTCAGCACAGTGGAATTCTGGCTCCCCAGGGGGCAGTTCAGGCAGGGTCTCTGGAGTGAGTGGGGTGCAGGTGTGGAGGGCAACAGAGAAAAAAGTCAGTCTGCCTTTCCCCAGAGGGAGGTTGGGTGACTGGGGGTCAGAAGGGCCCTGGGGATTCAGGGAGTGCACAGGAGGTGCCGAGGGGAGCCGGCCCTGCCCTGGCATCTGCCCTGTTTGCAAAGGAACACGTGGAGAGAAGGAAGCTGCCAGCACAGTGCCCAGCTCGGGGGAACGCCAGCAACCTCCACCACAGAAACCAGGAAGGGAGGGTGGGTGCTGGCGTGAGGGGTCACATTGCCCACACAGACCTCCTCCTGGCACCCACCTTCAGAAGCAATGTCTGGGGCCTCCTCACTGGCCCTCTGCTCATGCTGCCTCGGCCCAAGCTGCTTGTTGAAGGGGTTGAGGTGAGCCTGCCGGAACCGGGCCAACTTCTCGTCATGTTCCATAGCATCCCACCTGCAGGTCGGAACAAGACAGAAGCAGATGGTGGCCAACTCCCAGCTTACCACATCCCATCCTCTCTCTAGGTTTCGGGGGTTTCAGAGGGGATGCCTGGCCTCTTTCACTCCCCAGGGGGATCCTCCATCCTCAGCCAGTCCCCAAATTAGCTCAGCCCCCTCACCCAGGCCCTTCGGGCGGTGTGCCCTCAGTTAGAGCAATGGCATCCAACACACTTTCATCCCTCGCGCAAATGGGACAGGCAGGGATAAGAGGAGGACTTGACCTATCTGAGGGTACCCCACTGGCTGGTCTCCCAGCACAGGGTCCTTTGGTCCCAGATGCCTCACTTAGCTCCAGGCCAGCCCTGTGCTCAGTGTCCACTGAAAAAGCTCAGCTGCTCCCATGACACACACCTACCAGGACTCAGTTCCTCATTTCTGCCCCCAAAGAAGGTGCTCCTTTCCCATCAGAGCACCCCCAAACCACTGAGCAGAACAGTCAGTGATGACCTCCAGAGAGCACAGCGCTGGACACTCTGGGATCCAGGCTTTCTCTGCCACCTGCAGTGTGGCCTTGGGCAGGGTCCTTTCCGGTGCCCCATGGCTCCACATCCCTGCCAGCAGCTCACTGGCCTGGGTTCCCGCTGACACCCATGTGGCCTGAGTCAGTGTGCGGCCTCACACCTGGGGACCCCAGGAAATAGGCAGGAAGTGCCTCCTTCCCTGCAGCACTGCTTTCCCTGCCGAGGTGGCAAACTGGGGCGCACAGGGCTGGATGCTGGTTCCCAACAGAGAGGAAGGGGCTCTGGTTGGGGCAGTTTACATTCTAGGTGCCCACACCTGACTAGCTGGGCCACATTCCTTAGCCTCCCGGGTGAAGTGAGTCTGTAGGAAGTCGGAGATTAAAAAAAAAAAAAAAAAAGATTTGTAGTAAGTTCCTGGGTGTGGGTTTTGCTTTCTCGACATCTGTTTACAGTCTGAATTCATGATTATAAAAAACAATCCCATGATTCTCATCTGCCCCACCCTAAGAAAGAGAATTGAGCGCAGAGGGGACAGCTCTACCCAGGGTCACCCCTATCCCTGCCCACTGCCAGCTGTCCTGCTCTTGTCAGGAACTCCCACGCCGCCTATGGGACCTGTCCTCCCTGTTTGACCTCTGTGGTGGAGATGTGGACTGGGAGTTCCAGTCTTGCAGACGCGAGCACCCACTGACTGGCTGCCCCCATGTCAAGACGGGAGGACACAGGCACCATGGGCTCAAGCCCCCTCTTTCTTATTACCTGATGGCTTTGGGCAGCTCACACAGGGTGTTTGGGCCCTAATGCCCAATGACGCTCCCAGATGGTAGCTGCCACAATGATCTAGGAAACACCCAGAGTGCAGGAGAAACCCAACTACCCTGGCATTCACCAACCCCTTGTTCCTGAGTGGTGACAAGACTCTGCTTGACCAGACTTTATTCAGGCTCCTGAGCCTGCATCCTGCTTGTAAAACCCAGTTTAGCAAGAGTCCCCCACCCTGATATCATCCTCGTATCTGATTGGAATCTTCATCCCTCCCCCACCCCCCATCAGATGTCTGATCATCTTTACAAAGATCCTGTTAGGTCAGCTTAGCCAGAATCCCCTGTACCCTTGACATTACCTCCTACAATTTTTCATCCACAGACCCATCCTGCCTCTTGGCCTAGGCCGTATGTGGAGTTCAGTTCCGTATAGAGGTCTCTTTCCTCTATTGCAATCATCCTGAATAAAATGTGTTTTTACTGTTTTAGCAACTGTCCTGGTCTGGCTTTCTTTTGACAGTGGGGAACCCTGGTTTTCATCTTATCACATGATTTCCCAGCTTCCCAGCAGCTAAGTGTGGTCATGTGACTATGTTCTGGCCAATGGGATGTAAACAGAAAGCTCTCCTGAGACTTCTGGGAATTGTTCTTAAAAGGAGGGATGTCCCTCTTCATCCCTTCCTGGCTCTTGCTGTCTGGGATGCAGATGTAATGGGTGGAGCTGGAGCAGCCACCTTGGGTTGTGACATTGAAGCCCTGTGTTGTGACATAGACGCGCCTGCATTGCTCACCCCCAGCCTTCATTCAAATGAGAAAGAAAAAAACTTCTGTGTAAACCCCAGAGTTGGGGGGCGGGGAGGGGGATTTCTGTCTCTTGCAACCAACTGATCACACCAGCATCCTTCAGGTAATAACAAAAATTGGCCCTGTTCAAATCCCAGCTCTGCAAGGGCCTCACTGTGTAACCTTGGGCAATGCCTAAGCCTTTCTTTGCTTTCAACTTCTCATGTTTTAAATGAGGATAACGATAGTGCCCACTGTGTAGTGTTATTGCTAAGATCAAATTAGTTAATACAAAGTTTTGAGCACCCTGGTCAGCACAGAGTAAGCATCCAATAAATACTGGGTAAAACTTATTATTATCATTGTTACTATTAAGAATCAGACAGACCTAATATAAACTCCACTTCTCCCAGTGATGAGATATGTGGCCCCATTTTCTTGTCCATAAATAAAGGAGAATGCTCCCTCCAAGGGTGAGTGAAAGGACGAAGTGCCTGCGTGTGGCAGTGAAGCCCACAGCCCAGAGGAGCGGCTGAGCAAACTGGCACGGCCGTCACCTGACGGCACAGCCCACTCCCGGGTCTCTCCCAGAAACTCGAAGCATTTTAAAACATGGCCAGAGGAGCTCAAAGGCAGGAACACCTCAGCTCTTCCCGGCAGTTCTCATCCAACTGCGCACTGACGACTGCACTTTCCCCTGGAAAAAGCCTCTTTCATTCACCTCGTGGGCAGTGCCAGTCCCAGGCCTGGCACAGAGGCCCTGGATAAACAAATGAGTGGGGTTACTTGACCTCTCTCAGCCTGTTTCTCTCCTGCCAAGTTGGAGAATCATATGCCCCTCGGGCTGCTAAGGGCAGACAGATGATGTTCTCGAGGGGATGCCAGCCATCCCCACTGCCCACTAGGTTCACCCCACAGAGAGCTTGGCACTCAGAGTTGAGGCTTGGCCTCACAGAGGCCCAGTCAGGAAGGCAGAGACTGGGAAGAATAAAGAAAACGGGCTACGCCACCCTCTGCCCTTCTCCAGGACTGCCCCTCTCTTTGAGGGAGAGGACTCCTTGGCCGGCAGTTAGAGGAAACCCAGAGGAATAAACCCCAGGAATTCCAGGGTGCTAAGGGACACTGGGCTGAAGCTCGGATGCCCTCACCATGACCAAAAATGTCCTGCCTGTGGCTCGGACACCAAGAGGTCCTGTTATCATCTCAGCCACCATGGGAGGTCCTAGATTTCTTCCCGGGCAGGGGAAACCACACATCCTATCTGCTCACACCCTGAAGGGTGCCAGGACCTGCAGGGAGCAGGAGCGGGGTTACTGTCCCTCTAAGGACTGTTTGCCACAGAAGCCTGGCATGGTAACCACTGGCCTCAGGGACCCAGCCACCCCCAAACCTTCACCCCAAAACAACAACAGGCATCCGCGCTGGGGACCGTCACTAACCAGCTGGTATAGGGGCAGGTCCGTCTCGTTCCACCACCCCACCCATTTCATAGGTGAGGAAAATGAGGCTCGGAACAGCCCAGCTCCGGAGGGTGGCACAACCATGCGAGTCCCAAAGGCCTCATGAATTCCACAGACAGCAAGTGTTGACAGCCGGAAGCGGTGACAATGTCACTTGGAGGGGGCCATTCCCTGTCTGGAGTGCTAAACCCTGCCCTAGCAAGGCGAGGGACGGCTGAGGCCACCAATGCCCCCTGCGCCCAAGTAAGGACCAGAAGGCAGGCGTCCCGACCCGGCGGGTCTGAACTCTCCTGAGCGCCAGTGGGCGCCGTGGACAGATCCCTCCCCCGCTGCGCCCTCAGTGACCGCGTCGGGAAAACAGGCTGCTCGACCTCCGGGACGCGGCAGGCCAAGTGGGCACCGAGGGCCGGGAGCCCCGCTTCCCTCCACCCCGGCACCCCCCGCCCTCGCCCTCGCCCACCGCCTGGGATCCCCTCCGCCGCTCACCTGACCGCCGCCGCCCTCGCTACATTGTATCCCCGCCCTGGCTACACTGTATCCCCACCCCGCAGCCCTCACTACATTGTATCCGGCCCACCGCCCGCTGCTGCCGCCTGCGGCCCGGAGGCTCATGGCACACGGGCCCCGAGTCTGGGGCGCTCGTCCTCGCCACGTCCTTCTCTGGGAAACTGGTGACACTTTATCTCGCCTGCTCGAGGTAATATGGCCAGGCGAGGGGGGTGGGGTGATTTAAATCGAATCCACAACACTTTTTAAAAATTTGGTGATATTGCCCTGGCCGGTTTGGCTCAGCGGTTAGAGCTTGGGCCCGCCGACTAGAGAGTCCCAGGTTCGGTTCCTGCTAGGGGCAGGTACCTCGGTTGCAGTTTGTGGCCCGGTTGGGGTCATATGGGTGGCAACCACTCGATGTGTCTCTCTCACAGCGATGTTTCTCTCTCTCTTTCTGCCTCTCTCCCTCCCGTTCTATCTGAAGATAAATGCAAAAATGTCCTCGAGTGAGGATAAAAAATAATATTGGTAGTATTTATTTTTCTTAAACCCCTGTGGCTAAGCAAGAGAAAACAGGAAGAGGGAATCACCAGCAAGCAGCAGCCCCTGTGTGCTCATGTCCACCTGCCGACCCTGGTGGTGTTCACAGCTGTCAATCTGCCCGGTTTTACAGAGGAGGAAGCTGGAGCTCCCTAAGGTTAGGGGGCTGCTCAGTGGATGGAGGAGGGGGTTGCAAAAGCCAGTGTTTGAAGGTCTTTTCCACTTGTACCCCGTCCCGGCTTTGTTTCTCCGTAACCCTCATCACTGTCTTCTATATGTTTACTCTACTTGTCTGCCTCCACCCCTTACCCCAAGCACCACCACCACTAGAAACTCAGGGCTGCTGGCAAGGGTTTTGTTTGCTTTCTTCACTGCTTCTGGGCCTAGAACAGTGAGCTCAGTAGGCACTTAGTGACATGGGTTGAGGAAAGAAAGAAGCCCCTCCAGGCCCACCCTGAGAGGAGGAAGGTCCTGCCTGGCAGGTGGCCAACTGCACCAGTTGTTGAGTTAACCCAGGCTTTGGCTGAGGCACCTTGATGCAGTGCTGGGAAGACAACGTCCTAGCACTCAGTGAGCACAGATGCAGTGATGAGAGACACGCACACTAAGAAGGAAATAAACAGGGTGACAAGGTAGTTAACAAGATTGGGGAGGAGGACACTGTGCTCAAGCCAAGACCCAAGGGTAAGAAAGAAACAGCCACAGAAGAGCTGGGGGGAAAGGATCCAGAAGGGAAATGCAAGTGCAAAGGCCCCGAGGAACCGAAAGAGCCCGCTGTGCCCACGAAACAGAAAGCAGGTCAGTGTGGCCAGAATTCAGCAGAAGGGAACTGAGAGTAAAGGACTGGAAATGGGCAGGGTGGGGCCATTTGTGAACACATGGCTTTGATTTGTGGTGAGGCGGGAGCCACTGAAAGTTTCCTTTTTCTTAATGACTGCATTGAAGTATTGTGTACACACAATGAACAGCACCTTTCGGTGTACAATCTGAAAGCTTTGATGTATGCATACACCTGGGAAGCTACAGCCATAATTAAGATAGTAAACCTGCCCTGGCTGGATGGCTCAGTTGGTCGGAGCATCGTCCCATACACCAAAAGGTGGCAGGTTCAATTCCCGGTCAGGGCACATGCCAAGGTTGCAGGTTTGAACCCCAGGCGGGGTACATATGGGAGGCAAGTAATTGGTGTAAAAATAAATAAATAAATAAACCTATATCCACCATCCTCAGATGTTTTCTTGTGACTTTCTGCAATCCCCTAACCCTGTCCCCACATCTAGGCAATCACAGATCTGTTTTGTCACTACACTACATTTTCTAGAATGTTATAGAGGTGGGTGTCCCCTTACTTTGTATGTCCTGTTGTGTGAACGGCTTCCTTCCCTCAGAGGTGTCAGCAGTGTACCCCCTGGTGTGGAGGAACCTCATTCAGTTTAACCATTCAGCCACCGATGAACACCTGGGCTATTTCCAATGTTTGCCTGTTTGCTCCAATGGAGAGTGAGCCCTAATCATGACGCTTCTGCACGTGCTGCAGGGGCAGTGAGCAGCATCCTCCATGCTGAGCACTCATCACCCACCCTGCGTGGTGAGCCAGTCCAAACGGCCCTTGTGGAGTGCACGGAAGGCGCCCTCTTAGTCCTCTCGGGCTGCGATAACTAAGTGCCACAGACGGGGTGACTTACGAACAACAGAAATGTATTTCTCAGTTTGGAGCTGGAGATACGAGAGCAGGGTGCAGGTGTTCAGGGGCTGGGGAGGGCCCTCTTCTGGGTCACAGACGGCCACCTTCTCCCTGTCCTCATGGTGGAGGGGCAGGGAGCTTTCTGGGATCTCTCATGAGGCACCAACCCCATTCATGGGGTTCCACCCTCTTGACAATCACTTCCCACAGGCCCCACTGCCTAATACCATCACATTAGGGATTAGGGTTTCAATTTATGAATTGGGGGGCAGGGGAAATAGCACAGACATTCAGTCCAAAGCACACACAATGCTGAGAAACCCTGTTTTCGAAACCGACAGACTGAGATATGTTTGCACCATACTAGTGGCCGCGGGTGTCTGGCTACTGCCTGGAGTATCTGAGTCACATGTTCACTTGACCCAGAGAAGCTGTGAGCTTCAGGTAGGGGCTTTCCACAGCAACCCCCACATTTGCTTTAACTCTGTAGGTCCCCAGGAAACAGGATTCTGGGCAGCTTCACAGTCCAGGTCTGAGGTGGACACCTTCACACCGAGCCCACGGTGACATTCCAATGTGCCTGACCCTGGCGTGCCTCTGATTCCCACACAACCCCACCCCACTCCTCATTCTGTGCTGAGACAACTGAGTCTGCTGGTCTCTAGAGACTTTATCAGCACTGGGTACGTGTGTGCTCGCATTTATTATTATCTAAGCCAGTAGTTTTCAAAGAACAGTAAGAGCAAAAGTATTTTCCTTCAAATGAATCTGTATGGAACCCCAACTCCTAAAATACAAGCAGGGAGTTGTTCTCTTTTTTAATCCTCACCTGAGGATATTTTTCTGTTTATCTTCAGATAGAGTGGGAGGGAGGGAGAGACAGAGAAACCTCAATGTGAGAGAGACACATCGAACAGGGCCGGGGACTGCACCGCAACCGAGGTACCTGCCCTTGACTGGACTCGAACCCTCAACTCTTTGATCCACAGGCCGACGTTCTAACAGCTGAGCCAAACCAACCAGGGCAACAGGGAGTTGTCCTCTGCAGCTGGAAAAGCTCCCTGAAGAGAGGAAGTGTCCCAGCCGCAAACCGTGGCCCTGCAGCTGAGCGTCCTGGGCTGTTTCGCCCGTGTGCACGCCTCAGTTTATCTGTACGCATCTGCCTGTCAGGGTTGTGACCGAGTGAAGAGTTCACCACCATCTGCCCCCAGGAAAGGTCAACTGTGGCCCTACTGGAGCCCTACTCCAGGGTTCCTGGAGTTAGCAACTCAGAAACAATTGCTTAGTATTAATATGTTCCCAGGTGGAGCATTGTTCATTGTTTCTCTGAAATTCCAGTTTCACTGGGCACCCTGGGCGTGAAGTCACCCTGAGCACCCGAGCACCCCCTGCACTTGGCCAGGCAGAGGGCACAGGGAGGGCTGCGGCTGGAGTGTGCCCATGTATGGACAGCCTGGCCTTCACCCAGAATTAAATGGACAGGTGGACCTGGGCAAAACAGCCAATGAGGTGGCTGACCCAAAATACATGCACTAGAGTCATCAACACTGGATGGTGTTGGGCCTTCTAGGAGATTCTATGAGGCAAAGCAGCCACTGAGCTGGCTCTTCCTGCCCCTCCTGTCCAGGTGTCCCTGCAGACAAATACCCCTCAGCAATAATAACAGATACACAGGAGCTGACACGACCCTTACTGTTGGCCACATGCTGCTCTAGCCATTTCCATGTGTGCTCCTGTTCCCCGTGGCTGCACACGAACCACTCAGAAACTCAGGGCATTAAGCAGCAGAATGCTCCAGGCGGTCATGGGTCAGGAATACACGCAGAGTACAGGGCTGGCTCGTCTCTGCTCCAGTGTCTGTGATGTAGGGGGAGGGTGAGAGGATTAGTGGCCCCTCCCTCTGGAGGAACTCGGGGCAGCAGCAGAGATGTCCTGGGGCCTAGAGGTGCCAGGTTCCCATTCCTTTGCCCCCCACACCCCAGAAGCAGTAGCACTGCACATTCGTGATGGAGTCAGGCGGTGGGTCTGGGGGGAGAAGGAATAGAGGGATTGACGTCAAGGCTAGCCCCTCAAAGGCAGGGTGGCCAAAGGAGGCCAGACTTGTCTGAGTGACGAGAGCAAAGATGAAGTTCCTCTGGGCACAGGTGCTCAGGAGGGTGTGATTGGGGCCACTTAAAGCAAAGTGGAGAGGTACACGGCCAGGGGCTGGACACCACTTGCTAGCTGGCAGACGCCCTCGCTTTCCTGAGCCTCCATTTCTTTGCCGTGAAACATGGGTAATGATGCGAAGGTTAAGGGAGAAGAGGGCCCAGTGAAGTAGTGGACCTGTGGTCCAGCATGAGCACCTGTGGATGTTAGGAGCTGGGAGGTCCTTTGTCAACGATGGGTATCTCTACTCTTTCTAGGTCACAGAACCCTCTGAGCTGTGGGCACCCCAACCTTGTGGAGGCCGGCGGCCCTGCGAAGCCCTGCAGCTGTCCAGCCCCCCTCACAATGCCGGGGTGGAACCCAGCACAGGGTTCCAATCCCACCCTCCGTGCAGCCTCAGTCACACACATCATAACGCAGCAGCCTCGTGCGCGAGGTGCTGGGCAGATGTAAATGCTTAGAGCCGCCTGGCACAGAGCAGGGGTCCAGAAGCATCGGCCATCAGAGTGCGCTTCTCCGAGGCTCAGCCTGAGACTTGGCCCTGTCGGGGCTTCAGTCTCCCTGTCGAGGTCAGGGCCCTCAGTCCCCTTGGCCTCCCTGCTTCCACAGATACCACTTAGAAAAGCTGCTCTTCTGCCGGGAGGAGCTGGGTTTGATGACACCTCGTCTGAGTGAAGAGGGATCCGGGCCCAGTCCAGCTCTGTGCACTCACCTGGGCTCTCAGCACCTCACTGGGCTTCCACTTCTTTCCCGGTAGAAGGAAGTGGGCAGCCAAGTTAGCACCTTTCAGGTGCCCATGCAGGGGACACCAGGTGCCCTGCAGCCACTGGGAATGACCACCAGGGGGCGAAGGAGCCAACATCACCCCCTGCCAGCCTGTGCCTGGGTGCTGTGGCCACCGCTCCCTGACCCTACCAGCCCCTTCCCAGGGCCAAGCCCCAACCCTTCAAACACATTTTGTTGTGGTTGTTTTGTTAATCCTCACTCAAGGACATTTTTCCATTGACAGAATGGAAGGGAGGGAGAGAAAGAGAGAAACATTGATGTGAGAGAGACACATAGATTGGTTGCCTCCCGCACAACCCTGACCAGGGTCGGGGATCAGACTTGCAACCCAGGTACATGCCCTTGACCGCAAATTAAACCTGAGACCCTTCAGTCCTCGGGCTGATGCTCTAAACACTGAACCCAACCGACCAGGGCATCAGGGCACATTTTTCGGGGAGTGCTGGAGGTCCTCTCTTCCTACCTCCTTTGGACCTCGGGCTTCCTGCCTCTAACATACGCACGCACACAGGTAGGCCAGAGGAGCTCTCTGGAAAGTGAGTCCCCCTGTAGGACTCGGGGTTGTTTCCAAGTCCCAGGAGAACCTGACTGGGATTCTACGATGATGCTTCATCCAGACAAGGCCCCGCCACCACTCCTAGGAGCCCCTTGGCGGCTGTGCCTTGAGGCGCCTGCCGGCTCCAGCCTGGGAGACAATGGCCTCTTGCCCTGCCCCCACCCAGGCTCCGGCTGCCCCTCTCGCCCCTCTGGGCCTAACTTTCCAGAATAAAAAGAAATCTCCAGCACCAGGCAGGGGTATCTGACAGCAATAAATTTATTAAGGATTCCCTCCAAATATGAACACAAACCAGTAAAAAACAAACAAACAAACAACAACAAAAAAAAACACATAAAACTTCAGACCCAGAGCTGACAATGCAGAGACCAATGAGTAACAGAAAGGTGGAAACAGCCTATGGTGGAGACAGAGAGCTGTAAGTACTGGAGGACAGACACTCGGGAGCCCTAGGGTGATACGGTGGGAGCGGAGGGGCGAGGCTGGGGCGCGTCATGGCTGCATGGCTCTGGGACAGACCGCGTGGCCCTGGCCGTGGCCTGGCGCCCCGGCTGCTTCACTTGGGCCCCTGGGCCTCGGACTCCTCCTCATCGTCTTCATACATCTCGCCCTCCTCCTCGGCCGTGGCGTCCTGGTACTGCTGGTACTCGGACACCAGGTCGTTCATGTTGCTCTCGGCCTCGGTGAACTCCATCTCGTCCATGCCCTCGCCCGTGTACCAGTGCAGGAAGGCCTTGCGCCGGAACATGGCCGTGAACTGCTCCGAGATGCGCTTGAACAGCTCCTGGATGGCCGTGCTGTTGCCGATGAAGGTGGAAGACATCTTGAGCCCACGGGGCGGGATGTCGCAGACGGCCACCTTCACGTTGTTGGGGATCCACTCCACGAAGTAGCTGCTGTTCTTGCTCTGGATGGCCAGCATCTGCTCGTCCACCTCCTTCATGGACATGCGGCCGCGGAAGACAGTGGCCACAGTCAGGTAGCGGCCGTGGCGGGGGTCGCAGGCGGCCATCATGTTCTTGGCGTCGAACATCTGCTGGGTGAGCTCGGGCACCGTCAGGGCCCGGTACTGCTGGCTGCCCCGGGCAGTGAGGGGGGCGAAGCCGGGCATGAAGAAGTGCAGGCGGGGGAAGGGCACCATGTTCACCGCCAGCTTGCGCAGGTCGGCGTTCAGCTGGCCGGGGAAGCGGAGGGAGGTGGTGACCCCGCTCATGGTGGCCGACACCAGGTGGTTGAGGTCCCCATAGGTGGGCGTGGCCAGCTTGAGGGTGCGGAAGCAGATGTCGTAGAGGGCCTCGTTGTCGATGCAGTAGGTCTCATCCGTGTTCTCCACCAGCTGGTGGATGGACAGGGTGGCGTTGTAGGGCTCCACCACCGTGTCCGACACCTTGGGCGAGGGCACCACACTGAAGGTGTTCATGATGCGGTCGGGGTACTCCTCGCGCACCTTGCTGATGAGCAGCGTGCCCATCCCGGACCCGGTGCCCCCGCCCAGCGAGTGGGTCAGCTGGAAGCCCTGCAGACAGTCGCAGTTCTCACACTCCTTCCGCACCACGTCCAGGACCGAGTCCACCAGTTCGGCACCTTCCGTATAGTGACCCTTGGCCCAGTTGTTGCCGGCCCCACTCTGACCTGTGTGGGAGTCAGAAGGTGGCAGAGAGGGTCAGACCTCCAGGGCCTCAACATCCCAACCCAAAGGGCAACTGTGGAAGCCCTGTGCCTGCTTCCCCTCTGCAAAGTGGGGGCCCACAGCTCCCTTCCCCCACCAGCCATGCTGTGCACTGCTCTCTGCTGCCCGGCACCATGTGACAGGCTCTGGTCAGAAATTGAGAACCTTGAGTTGCAGCCCCTACTCTGCCTCGTTTGAGGGTCTGGGTGAGTTGGTCAGCCCGCCCCTCCAGCCCACCTACCCTCAGCAGGCCATGATGGAAGCATCAACTATAACCCAGAGTCCCTTGAAGCTTGGGGTTTGGATGTGGACTGGTGCTTGTCGGTTGGGGTGCTGGGCTCTGAAGGCAGAAGTAGAGGGAGGCTCTGCCACCAGTCACGGGTACCAGGGACACCTGACCTCTGGGTCACAGACACCGTGCTCTGAGCTCCAGCCCTCTGGAGGCCCACCAGCTCTCCAACCACGCTGTAAGCTTAACTGTGTTTACAGGTAGCTATGCTTGAAATGCACAGTGGTTTCTCTGCCCTGCACAGAACCCTTCCTCTGAGTGTCCACTGCCAGCTGCAGGTAGGGGGTCAGCTCTGCCCTGCAAGGCCATGGACAGGGGCCGCTGTGCCCCTTGGTTCCTGTCAATCTGGGTCTGCCTGTGACGGGTCTGCCATTGGTGTGAGACAGGGGAAACTTACCAAAGATGAAGTTGTCAGGCCTGAAGAGGTGCCCAAAGGCCCCAGACCGAACACTATCCATGGTTCCAGGCTCCAAGTCCACCAGGATGGCCCGAGGCACATATTTGTGAGCTGAGGGGAGAGGGGTGGGTCATGTGCACCACAGAGGCTCAGGGGCTCCTCTAAATCCTGCCCTGGATTTCCTGGCTGGTGTGGCTCAGTGGACTGAGTGTCGCCCAGGGACTGAGGTCTTGGTTCGATTCCCAGTCAGGGCACAAGCCTGGGTTGCAGACTCCATCCCCAGTGGGGGACATGCGGGAGGTGACCAATCGATGTTCTCTCTCATCAGTGTTTCTATCTCTCTCTCCCAAAAGTCAATAGAGAAAAGATATTCTAAAAAAAAATAAATAAATAATAATAATAATAATAATAATAAACCCTGCCCTGGCTTTAGAGGCAACTTAGACTCAGGGTCAGAGAGGCTAGAAACAAATGTGATATGGGGACTGAAACCCTGGACAGCCCGGACCAAATTTCTCCAGTTCAACACAGACATCATTCTGTACCAAGTGTTAAATAGCTCCTGCCTGAGCGCTCCAGGTGACCCTGCCCTGGACCCTCAGAAGGACTCAGGGCACCTTCAGGACCCTGCCCAGCCCTGTCTGTTTCCCTGGACTGTGCACATGTCTTATGGCCAAGAACTTGCTTGAATCTAACTGTAGCCTCAGGTTACACCTGCTAGCCCACCAATGGGAGAGCAGATCCAGGGGGCCTAGTTCAGGTGTCCTCCCAGCCCCAGGGAAGGGTGGGGGTGCTCACAGGAGGCCTCGTTGTAGTAGACGCTGATGCGCTCCAGCTGCAGGTCTGAGTCGCCCACATAGTTGCCACTGGGGTCTATGCCATGCTCGTCGCTGATGACCTCCCAGAACTGCGGGGAAATGGAGGGTTAGCAGGTGGCCATGACGGAGCTTGGACCCACAGCTTACACTAGCCCCTTGGAGAGACTTTGCAAAGAGCCCCAAGCTCTGTCATCTGTCAGAAAATTATAAGAAATATATTGTCCAGCACCTGCACATCCATGGTTACCAGAGCCCTCAGGCTGACACAGACCCAGCTCTGCGCTTACTGACCAGAGTTAGTAATAAACACCCTCTTTGGGTGATTTTTATTATTCTATTTTCAGATGAGGAGAGTGAGACACAAAAAAGGGGACAGAGCCCTGGCCGGTTTGGCTCAGCAGTTAGAGCGTCAGCCTGTGGTCCAGAGAGACCCGGGTTCGGTTCCCGCTAAGGGCATGTACCTCGGCTGCAGTTTGTCCCCGGCCCTGGTTGGGTTGTGCGGGTGGTAGCCACTTGATGTGTCCCTTTCACATCGATGTTTCTCTCTCTCTCTCTCTTCCTCTCTCTCCCTCCCACTCTACCTGAGCAAAAAATGGAAAAATGTCCTCGGGTGAGGATAAAAAAAAAAAATCTGAAAAGTATGAACAGTGTCATCATTATAAAATGTATGTGAGCATCTTGGCAATTCAGAGAGACTGTTGTCAGAGGTCAGAGCTCACCTTTCAGGGGGCTAGACCGCTCCCCCCTTTTGTGTATTTTTTCACTCATAAGTGCTCTTCTTTTTGCATTGTGTGTTTATTTTGTAATTAGAAAAAAAATAAACACACAGAAATGTCACTGGGGCATTCAGAGACTGATCAGAGCTTCCTACCACTGCTTAGCTCCCAATGCCCCTGCTTCACAACAAAGCTATCCGAGAGGCTGAGTGAGCCTAGGGCCTTGGTCCCACAGCCCTGGGACACCCCAAACCTCTGGCTGCAGGAACACCCACAGTCTCTGTAGATGAGGGGTGATCTCAAGAGGGCAAGTATGGGGCCAGGAAAAATTCATTTAGTCACCAGTCCACCAACACATCTGTGGAAAGCATGGTCTTCCCAGAAGTAAGGGACCAAAGGGGTGTGGACCCCAGTACCAGCTGGTGCCTGACAGTCACCCCACCTCCTGGGAGGGACTTCAGGTTTCTCATCTTTGAAGTAGACGAGGTGATAGCATCCACACCGAGTGGTCAGTGAGCACGAAGCCTGACACAGAAAGGCATTCAGCAAATGTTGGCTTCATTGAGCTGAAAAGCCTTAGATGCTATTTAAATGGGTAAAGCCATATGTACAGATAACCTACATAAAAATAAAACATAATTTTAAAATATCCATGTGCTTTGGAATACGGTGGCACAGTAAAATAAAATAAAAAACACCATTGATAAGAGCTCTCCAAGACATATCCTGGAGGGAAAGGCAAATCAGTAGGAACAGACTGACAAAGGAAACCTCACAGCAGATGCTGTTTCTCACAAAGCTCCAGGTGTCCACACACTGATCAGGGGCTGGAACAACGACAAACCGTCCTGCTCGAGGGGGACCTGGATGGGTGAGGTGGTTAAATGGGTACAGCCTTACCTGCAATGTTTCCACTTTTTTTTTTTTTTTTTTTATCCTCACCAGAGGATATTTTTCCATTTTTTGTACAGATAGAGTGGGAGGGAGAGAGAGGAAGGGAGAGAGAGAGAAACATCGACGTGAAGGGACACATCGAGTGGCTGCCACCCGCACGACCAACCAGGGCCGGGGACAAACTGCAACCGAAGTACGCGCCCTTAGCGGGAACCGAACCCGGGTCTCTCCGGACCGCAGGCCGACGCTCTAACCGCTGAGCCAAACTGGCCAGGGCTCCACTTTTTAAATTTATGAATTTATGAATAACTGCTTTTGTAGTTAAAACTAACAAAGATTCTAATTTAAAATATTAAAGATAGCTCATTAGTAAATTAGATGTAACATTTAATAAATAATAAAATACAATTTTTTAAATTAAATAATAATTATGATCATCACTACAGATGAGAAACTGCCAGGTGGCCGTGGACCCCAGGTTTTTGCCTGGTGTTTGGGGCGGTCAGGCCCCTGCCCGTGGCGCTGTCCTTGGTGCTGATCCTCTGCCTCGCCTCTCAGGGGGCCCGAGGCGCGGGGCAGGCAGAGCCCAGGCAAGTAGGACGCAGCGCCCCTCAGAGGCAGGGTGGGCCAACTCTGGGGCCTGAAGCCCTCCAAGACCCCGCTCCCGGCACAGCGAGCGCCTCTCCGACCTGTCGAGGCGGCGCTGGGGGAGGGGCGGGACCAGGAAACAGGAAACCGCTCCTCGCTGGTTGTCAGGGCCCCTCCCCTCCGCGACCCCGCCCTGCAGACGAGAGACGGGGCTTAAACAAAGGCGCCAGAGCGGTCCTGCCTCCCGAGAGGAGGGAAGGGTGTAGGAACTCCGGGCCCAGTTGTGGGGGGTCGGGTACCCCGTGCATCCTGCTATATCCACACAGACTCAAACTCCTGCCTTGTTCCAGGAGCACCGTTTTCTCATCCTCGGGGAAGGGCAGCACCCTGGAGAGATGACTCGAGTAAAGCACTGACGGGGGCCCCACAGGGTCGTGGTCGTCGTCGCGAGTCACCGCTGCCCTCGTGCTACCGTTCGGCAGAGGCAAGTCCTCCTCTAGCCCTGGCTCGCCCTGAGTTCCCTCCCTCCCCCTCCCCCCGGAGCCGGCGGCCTGATCCAAGCACCACTCGGAACCTGCAGGCAGGAAAGCAGCCTCCTGGCCCACCTGGGTCAGCTGCTGCAGGAGGTGGGGAGGCAGATTCAACACACGGAACCTGGGAGGAATGGGGGGCTCTTGAACACTTTCTCCGAGTCTGGTTTCTGGAGACTTTCTAGGCGGGGAGACAGGAAGGAAACTGCTCAGATGCGCCCATTGGCCGCTGCAAAGGGCAGCGGTGGGAAAAGGAAGAAATAATTCCTTTTCTCCAAACCCACCTCTCTCCTGTTTGATGTGTTCACTGGACCAGCACACCCCAGGCCCAGGCGGGACTCAGGGTTACCCTCCTCCCATCCCCAGCCCAGTGACCCCTGACCCTCTGAGGAGCAGATGTTCAGGGCAGGCCTGGCCCCTCGACTATATTAACGAGCCCTCGGCCCCTCCCAGCTGGTCAGGGCAGCTGCCAGCGACTTCCCCAGGAGCCCTGATTTAATTTGAGGCCATGGTCCCCCAGGCCTGCCCCTCCCCCTGCCCCTTCCTCGGGCAGGCACAGCTGTCTCCTCCGTGATTGGGAGTCTCGGGATACCGCCTCCTCGACCCCATCCGTGGGCCTCCACCCTAGAGCCCAAGTTGCAATTTACATGTCAGCCACGTGGCTGCCCCAGCCCCGTTGTAATTAGCTTTTTGTTCTCGCCGTTTCCATGGCAACAGCCTCCAGAGGAAGCGTTTCCTCGGCCCTTCCCCTCCAGGACCTGTCTCCTACCCGCGCCTCCTTCGGAAATTAGCTCGACCACATCCCCGCGTCGGGTCCCTGGCCGTGGTCCTGACTGAGCCACCTCCTCGCGTTCGTGGTCCGGAGTCGTGCGGGCAGCGAGCCGCACCCACCCGCCTGGGCCCCGCCCTGGGCGCCCGCAGGGACTGAGCCGGAGGTGGCGCGGCTCCGTCCCTCACAGGCCGTGTGACCTTGGCAAGGGACAGCCTCCCGGACTTGGAGATCTGACACTCGCCTCGTGGGTACTTGTCACCTTCTCTTCCCGCCTCAACCCCAATATTTGAGAGGTGGGCTAACAATGGACGGGAGATGCCGCGCGGTGAGGCACAGCCCACGCCCAGAGCCCGGCTTTGTTCCCACGTCCAGCCCCCAGACTCGGCGGTGCAACCCCGCGGGGGACTTGCCCAGGTGGGGCTGTGCTGAGGGAGGGGCCAGTCCTGGACCAAGGTCACCTCGAGCCCGGGCCCGACCCCTCCCCCAACAAAGGAACAGGGAAGGGCCAGGCAGCCAAGGGCTGTCACTGCGAGGTTGGGGGCGCGAGGCGCCTCTAGTTGCTCAGAGGACCTCCCGTTCCTGGGGGAAGGGGTACCAGAGAAAATCAGTGTGGCTTTGAAGGGGGAGCCCACCCAAACCGGCCCACCCACCCACCCTGCTCAGGCTGAGTTGCGATCCCAGAAAGGGCCACGCCCAGCCAACTCGCTGCACCCCGGGCGGCCGGCTTGGAGGCAGCGCCGCAGCGGAAGGCGCTGCGGTCAGCGGGGCCCTGGTGGCGGCCGGAGCAGAGGAGAGGCTGGGGGGGCGGGGGGGGGGCGACAGGGCGGGCCCGTCGCTTTGTTTTCGGTTTGCAGAGGCGACTGCGGCTCCGGGTGCATGGTGCTCCCTGCTTCCCACCCTCGGGTCCGGCTCGGGCGGGGGCGCGGGGCGCGGGGCGCGGCGCGGCCTCACCTTGGCCCCGATCTGGTTGCCGCACTGGCCGGCCTGGATGTGCACGATCTCCCTCATGCTCGGTGCGGTGGCGGGTGGCTGCGAAGCGCTGACGGGCCGGGCTGGCTGCGGAGGTCCGCCGACCCGCGTCGGCTCTTATAGGCTGGGCCCCGCCCGCCGCGCACCCCTAGCGTCACCGCGCGGCCAATGGGGGCGCCGCCGCACGCTGCGGCACGGCCGCTGCCGCATCAGCACCGCGCGTCCCCACTCGGCCGGCGCCGGGTCCGGGCGGCTCACCCGTGAGGAGGGGCTGGCGGGTTCCAGGGAGGACAATAGAAGCCACCTTGGCCCTCGGACCCCGCCCTGGCTCCCCCTCCGGTCCTACCACTCGGCTTTGCAAGGAGGGTCTCACTTCCCCACACCCGTTTAGGGACCAGCCCCATCTTCCCGCCCCGAAAGCGCGAGATGGACGCCTCCCCGCTCCCTGTCTGTGGCACGAAGGGGCCGACAAGGTTCTCTGAGCTTTGCAGGACCCCGTAGGGGTGGAGGGGGCAGGAAAAGGCTCAACAGCCACCAAAAGCAAGCTCGGGCCTGAGAAATCCTGAGTCAGAGTGGCCGTGGGTGCAGGAGGGCGGTGGCAGCTGAGTTTCACTGTCCTCCCCTGCAGCGGGGGTGCCGCCTCCCTTCCTGCCCGGCCGGCTGCCAACAAATGGGCCTTGCTTTGTGCCCCCGCCAGGCACAGTGCCTGGCATGTAGCCACTGCCCAGTGAACACTGGTGTCAGGAATTGTCATAGGACCCACCCAGGTGAGGGACTGATGGGGTGGGGCGTAAAACTCAGTCATTTCTGTCCTACTCCCTGATGTCACCTGTAGGTCTGGACTCGGTCCAAGTGAGGCCAAGGCAGGGAGGATGCAGGGAGCTGGTGTGTGCATGAGGTGCGGGTTCTTGCAGGAAAAACTGTGGCCAGGATGGAAGGGGGTCCACTGGTCAGAAGAGAAGGGAGGGGGGCCGTCACATGAATACAGACCCTGTACTACACACACAGACACCACTGGCTTTATATTCTCCTGGACGCAGGCGCTGCAGTGAGGACACCTTATGACAGGTCCTACTGATGTCTCGGTAACAAATCCTCTGGAAAGGCACCGCAGTCAGCTAAACAAGCTGCGGGTGCACCTGTGTCCAGGCCCCTCTCTTCCCCTCCTAAAGCTCCCCAGTTTGGCAAGTTTAGAAATGGGTCTTTTGTTCTCAAGAGAAGCCCCTCCCCCACAATGTGTCCATGATGTGGCTTTCTGTGGTTGGCTTCTGGCCACCTGGGGCCCCTCCCTGTCCCCCATTCAGGGGGTCTTTGGTGAGCATTTGGCTCTTCCCTGGGGCCAGCTGTGCCTCCTTGTCTGAGCAGAAGAAGCTTTGCAGCATCCTGTCAGCCAGGACCCATCCCTGGGCTTCCTCCCTGCAGAATGGCAATGGGCCAGGCTGGCTCCCCTTCCATCCCTAGAGGGCTCTGGTGCTGGGCTGACGGCTGACGCGTCCTGTCTCCCAGCAGAGGCTGGGCCTGCCGGGAACCAGCTCCCAGCCCCAAGGCCAGCAGTCAGGGCTGGAGCTGCCAGCATGGGTGGGGTGGGGACTGGCCAGAGGGCTGCAGACGTTACTAGAACAGCTGATGCCATCACTCTCACCTCCACTGAGCCTGTACCAGGAATAGGGCCGGCTGCACGCTCAGTGCCTGTGGAGGAAACCAGGTGGCTCCTCAGCAAGAGGCCCAAGGTTGCAGCACATGAGAACCCAAAGGTCCCCAGCATCATGCAGCATGGTCCCCTCCAGTGCCATTCCCAGGGACACCGCCTGCAGCCACCGGCAGCTTCACCCCATTCTGGGAGGCCTTGCCTCAAATATCTACCAGGACTGGTAGTGCTGGAGGAACAAAGACCCCGGGGGTGGCCCAGAGCAAGTGTGGAGGAGGGCCTGCCCCTCCTCTGGCCAAGGTCACAGTGGGTCACAGTGGGTCACAGTGGTCCTGCTTCTCGGCAGCTGAGGGCAGCCTGGACAGTGTCAGCCTGTCACCATGGAGGTGCCTGGGACAGGGCTGCTGCTGCTCCTCACTCGAGCTGCGGGGGCTGGGTTTGCACACGGAGAGCGAAGATGCAGCATCAGAGTAGGTGCAGTTGGGGTCCACACACGCCCTGGGTGGAGCTTCAGGCTCTGCATCCTGTGAGGTCTCCAGCTGGTTTCTGGGACTTACTTCTCCCCACTCATCTCTCCCACCCCACTCCTCCCCAGCTTCTCTACCCTCAAACTTCAAGCAACACCTGGAAGGAGCCAATGCAGATGGCAGTGAGGCTGCTCCCAACACAGCAGTTATTGCCAGATGCTTCCGGCCCTGAGATCCTGGCTACTGGTCACTGATTCAGGCTAATGACCTTTGCCTCAGCCTGAGCAGGTGTTGGCCAGTACTGTCTGCCCAGTGCATGTGGTGCAGACAAATGGGCCAAGTCCCCAGCTCTCCCAGCTCTGTGAGTCCTTGAAGAGATTAGCCCACACTCCCACTGTGGCTCCTGCAAATATGTCCCTCCGCCTGGGACAGGACCTCACTTCTTAAGCAGCCCTGTGGGGCTGAGTCTCCTCCTGGGGTCTTCATCAGGAGCAGTTCACCAGCCTATGGACTTCACATCCCAGTAGGTGGGGGCACCGGTGGTCCTTGTCTCGGTGCGGGTGGAACTCTCCTGGACTGGGCCATGTCTGTCCAGGGCCCAGGGCCAGCCCTGTGCATGTGGCCCCATCTCCCCAGCCTTCTTCTTCCCCTCAGCTCCTGAAGATTCATGCTGATTCCTCTCTGGCCCCAGAGGGTCTGTGTGTCCACATCTTCAGAGATCATCTAGCCTGTCCTCTTTGGCAAGTAACTGCCCTGGTCACACAGGACTTGGCCCACGTGCTACCTCCACCTCTCTGCCCAGCATCCCGGCCTGGAGCACTGGGCACCGTCCTCACCAGCACAGTAGCACCTGTCTCCTGGAGCTCCTGGCTTCGGAAGGCATAAATCGGGGGGTCCACAATGGCATTGCAGATGATGATGCAGGAAGGGGTTGAAGTTCTTGAAGATGTAGTGGGGTGTTGGGGACAGAGGACAATGAGTAGGAGGTACAAGAAGAAGGGCCCAGCAGAGGAAGGAAACGCCCAGCAGGGAGGTGAGGGTGGCAGCGCCCTTGAGGCCGAAGCCTTGGGAACCGGAAGCGCCTCTTGTGCACGAACATGTGGACATACAGCACCAGCGTGGCCACAAAGACGCTGACAAGACAGAGCAGGATGGCCGTACGGTCATAGTAGGCAAAGAAGGGGGTGCTGGAGATGACACTGGCCACCCAAGTGGCTGCGATGGCCCACCGTGCCCAGGGCAACGTCACGATGCTGTGGTATTGCAGCGCGTAGAAGACGGAAGGGTATTGGCACAGCAATGGCAGCCAGGAAGCAGAGGCTGGACACCATGGAGCCACAGATGAGCACGCGGAGGATGTCATCCAGCTGCTGCACCGCGGCAGCTGGGCAGCCAGGGCCCCAGCCTCCAGCAGCAGCATGACGACCATCCCGGCATACTGCTCACGCTCGCCAGCAGGTCAGACACCGCCAGGCCGCAGGTGAAGAAGTACGTGGGCGTGTGCAGGTTTTGGTTCTTGGCGATAGCGGCCACCACCAGCACGTTCTCCACCAGGCTCACCAGCCCCAGGCTGAGGAAGAGCCCATCAGGAATGGGCACCTCCAGGTGCCGAGGGCCTGTTTGGTTGGTGGCCAGCCCGAGGTGGGGGCTGGCTGGAGGGTGGAGTTGAGGATGCCCAGTAGCCTCCTCTGGGGACCCTGTACAAGCAGAGTCGTGCCAGAAAGCAGGGAGGGACGCCCCTCTGTAGCTGTTCCACTCAGTTCACGGTGCCTCCAGTGGGGCCCTACGCACCCCCAGGGCCACCTTCACACTCACCCTTTCCCTGGACGGACTGCTGCCGGCTTGGGCACGCCCCAGCTCCTCCACCAGCCTGGTCACTTCCCAGCCAGGACCCCACGCACTGCAGCGCCAACCGTCTGGGCCCTCAGCCCACCTCCCAACTCTTCCCTGGAGGTACAGTGGCCCAGGTTCTCACATTTCTATGCTCCCCAGGCCAGGGCAGGGTTGAGGTCCAGGAAGAAGGGTGCTTCTCCACACCCTTGTGTCTGCTCAGCCCCTCCTGAGGGCAGCCACATGCTCGGCGTGTGACCACCCGCAGCACCCCTGCCTGCCACCAGGTGGCGTGGATGGCACCCAGGGCTGTCTGGCTTCCCAGGCCCCCCGACTCCCCAGCACAGCTCGACATCTCTCCTTGTGCTCGGAGCACTGCAGCCTGGACAGCTTTCTGCACCCCGCCCACCAGCGCCCCGTCATGCCTGGGCTCCAGGCATCTGTGTGGGTGTCCTCTAGACCTGCCAGACTTCGAACCCTCCTCCAGGCCCACAGCAAACACCACCTCCTGGAGGCCTCCCCTTCCTGACCCCAGCCTGATACTGCTCTGCCTCGGGAAGCCACTGGCTAATGACTGTCCACCCCTAACCCCCACTCCATGCTGCATGTTCACTGAGGGCAGCCTCCCCAGGGACCCCAGTCCCTTTGTCGAGGGGTGCCAGAGGACAGCCTGGTCACATGGGCTGGAGGACAATGCCTTGTCATCCTGGAGAGACGGACAGAGCCACCAGCCCCATTTCCTCTGGGGAGGGGCACCACAGCTCCGAGCCAGACCTGTCTCCAGCCACGTGGTCCGCTGTGGGAGCCTGGGCCCAGAGTGCCCACGGGCGTCACGCTGGCCTCATTCCACCCCACACTTTCTCTCTGCTGTTGGCATCTGTGATCGCAAACCCTCTGGAGGCCCAGGCAGAGGGCAGGTGGGGAAAAGGCAGCCGGAAAGGCCAGTGGTGGGGGCAGAAATGGGGCCAGGAGGGAGCTGGGGAGGGTGTGTGTTTAGAAATTGATTTTAGAGAGAAACAGCAATTTGGTGTTCCACTTATTTATGCATTCGCTGGTTGAGACTTGTATGTGCCCTGACCAGGGGATCGAACCTACCACCTTGGGGTATTGGGATGGTGCTCTAACCAACTCAGCTACCTGGCAGGGCAGGTCTGTGTTTTGAGTGTATCTGATATTCCTGCTAAAGTTCATTCCTGACAGGACCATGCGTATGAGCACACATTAGTATCCACTTACAAATAGTAATCACGCACCCTAGACCAGTTTGGTTCAGCTATTAGAGCAAACCAAAGAGTTTGATTCTGGTCAAAGGCATGTACCTCAGTCGGGGTTAGGTCCTGGCCCTGGTCGGAGGCGTCAGGAGGCAACCAATCAATGTGTGTCTCTCACATCGATGCCTCCCTCCCTCCCTGAAGATAAATGGAAAAATATCCGCGGGTGAGGATTAAAAACTAATCACTCTTTAAAGCTGCACAAGGCTCTTCCCCCTCTTGAAGTACACACATCACAAATACGCAGGTGCCCCGTCTGAACAGCGGGACAGCAGGGCCCAGAGCAGGTTAGAGCCTCCTCCACATGGAGGCCCTCGACCACGCGGGCACCTGGGCAGCTCCCTAGGTGTTAGTGCTGCAGGGCGCTCTTGCCTGCACTTTGGTGACACCAAGGAAAGGCATGTCTCCAGCTTTGGTAAAATCGGCCGAACCATTTTCCAAACTGGTCGACCTGTTTGCCTGTTTCTGGAGGGTACAAGCCCCGCCCGGTGTACGGATGAAAGGACAGGCCTCTCCCCAGTCCCACAGGCAGCAGGCACGGGACAGGCCCACTGCTCACCTCCTCCCACCCTCCTGGTGGAGGACCCCAAAGGGACCCAGGGCGTGAACGTGAGGCTGTGCAGCAGCAGGGAGGGGGCCAGCAGCTGTGCGGGCTGTGCAGGCCCACTGTCCCTGCTGCAGGTCTTACAGCTCCACTGTGGCTCTGTCTCCAAGAACCGCCCTCCAGCCTCGGGGCACCAATGTCTGCTGGCTGAGCGGAGACCTGCCCCAGCTCGTTACCATGTTTCAGGGATGTTACCATTTCCGGCTCCATAAACAAGGCCTTTGAGGTGGCCAGGGGCCCCACCACCCCGACCTGAGACTTCAAAGGGCGTGAGAACGGGGCAGCCTTCTTCCTGCCAAGGCCTCAGCACTGCCGTCTGTTCTCACTGGACTGGCCTACAGGGGACACAGGGAAGTCAGCAGGTACAGCTGAGCTGGGAAAAAGTCAACTTTGTGATTAGCTGCTGTCAAGGGGCACACGTCTAGAGGCATCACACAATCCTAAGGTCAGTTGCATCACTTCATCTCCAGGCCCCTGGGAGACAGAGTGAGGGGCGCAAGGGCCAGTGCCCAGAGCAGGCCCCGCTGTGAGAAGCTGTGAGAACAGTCTTGTCGCTGTTGTCTCCCGGCACCAAGAACAGGGGCAGGCCCACAGCAGGAAGCAGGTGAGCCCCACTGGGAAGCGGCACCGGAAGCCCCAGGAAGAGCGAGGTGCCCGTGTCCGCGGAGCACACCCGCAAGGCCGGTCGCAGCTCCGCTGGGTGTGCAGCCCGCCCTGGACCCGTCCCAGTGCAATCTCAGGAAGGGCTGGCCCAGGGCCGGGTCGCAGTGTCTCGGTTCAAGGGTGGTCTAGTTTCCTTTGAACTTGGGGAGGTCAAGGCCAGGAGGGTGCCCAGTAGCCAGGACACCTCCAGCTCAGCCTCAGAGCCTGAGATCCTTCCAGAACAAAACAAACTCCCGAGTCGCAGGCAGTCTTATGTGGTTCTTAGCTGCCAATCAAGTCCAGGACCTGCCCCAGCCGATGAGCCCCCCCCACGTTCTGTTCACCCTGCACATCAAGTGCCCCCAGTCTCTACCCTGCCCATCCCCCAGTCTCTACCCTGCCCATCCCCCAGAGCTGCCACTGCTCGGGCCCCTGACTCCACCCTCCAACAGAACCACTTCGTGGGACTGGGAAGACTGCACCTGGGATGCCCAGCCCGAGGGCCCAGCACCGCCAGCCCGCCCGGTTCCCACGGAAGCATGAGGCCCACCCTGGGAAAGAAGAGTCCGCACGAGCAGGCTAACCGTCGATGTCGACAGGAGACCGGAGCAGCAGGCGGACACGGCATCTTTACTACAGGGAGCTGGCCAATCCCGACCAGACAGATCAGACACATGATTGCGCAGCAGGGCACTGTGTCCGTGTGCTCAGTCCCACTCCCCGTCCCCCTCAGCTCGGTCCTCGTGTGGGGCCTCCAGGTCGTGGAAGTGGAAGGTGGCCATCATGTCTCGAACAGCCAGCATCAGCCTGTTCAAGCCCTGGCTGCGGTCCAGCCCCTCGGCCCCTCCATCCTCTGGCCTCTCCCCCTGCGGCAACGAGACCCGTCTGAGCAGGGCTGCCTGGGCCCAGAGCACCCACCGGGCTCCCTCGGGACCTGTCGAGGCGACAGGCCCCTAGAAGCCACACACATCTGGCCGGGCCAGGCCAGCAGGGTGGAGCCCGCGGCCAGGCCAGCAGCCACATGGCACGTCCAGCTTCCTCAGCCACATCAGCACTCGCTGCTGGCAGTGCTGGCTCCGGACATTCACATCCGAAGGGACCTTCCTGTACCCAGTTAGCAGGGAGAGGCCAAGGGGTGCTCACGTACCTCCATGGTGTAACTGGGCAACAGTGACCGGAAGAAGAGGGCGATTGTGTTTCCGTGGCTGACGGGGCTCAGCCTGAAAGAGAAAGAACATCAGGAAATGAAGCAGGGACAGGACGGCAGCGCTGGAGAGAGGGGGCTGAATGGGGCCTGGAGCCCCAGGGGGCAGGCAGCCACCACACCTGGTCAGCTCGGGGACCCTGCTGCGCCCCCGCAGGCAGCGGAGAAGACTGCACAGAGCTGGGGGCTGGCGTGTGGGATGAGTGGAGAGCAGAGCCACAGCCAGGGGGGACACGCCGCCACCTGTGCCTGCTTGTAGCACAGTTGTGGCTGCAAAGTGTCCTTCAGCACCGAGGGCTGAAGGGTATGAGCTGGTCACATAAAGAGGCTCCAGCCCTGGCCGGTGTGGCTCAGGTGGTTGGGTGTTGTCCTGTACAATGAAAGGTCACCAGGTCCCCAAGTTTTGGGCTTAATAGCTGGTGGGGATCATGCAGGAGGCGGGTGATTGATGTTTTGCTCCCACGTTGATGTTTCTCTCCCCCCTCCCTCTCTCTCCAAAATTCAATTTAAAAAAAAAGATCCCAGGGCAAGTGTTCAGTGAGGACCCTCCCTGGTGAAACGAGACACCGCAGCCCGGCTCTATGAGACACTGAGGGGACCTTTGGCAGTGACCTTTGCTCTGAAAGCTCAAGGTCTACACAGCTGGGGGAGGGGAGGAGGGAGAACACTGGGTCAGCAGAGTCCTACAGCCCTTCCTCAGGGCTAGGCGCCTGGCATGTCAGCTTTTTCCAGAACCCGTGACACTGACAATAATTTCCATCTCGACTGGAGACCTTAACTGGGAACTGTTACCCTACGAACATGCAATGCAACTTCGGTAATTCAGGGGTGGGGAAAGGACTGCACCCTACAAAATGTGTTCTACCGAGGTCTGAACACTCACGCTCCCTTAAAGGGACACTGTCGGTGACTCCAGACCCACTGCTCTGCGGCAACGGGCTCTCGGGGAGGCAGTTGCTCAGCTTTAAAGGCCAGAAGCAACAAGCAGCTTCCACGCACACCGGCAGCTGTGGACGGGCCCCGCGTCTCCCGGCCACACGGCCCGCGCACATGCTGACTGCCAGGAGCCCGGCGCTGCCGACCCTCTGCCTGGCCAGGGCACCGCGCATCTCGGCGCACGCGCCACGCACCAGCAGTTTCTGGTGACCGTTTCCAGACCCTGCACCTGAGGTGCCCTCCCAGCGGACTGTACACGCCATGAGAGCACAGGCCGCCTCACGCTGCTCCCCCGTGTGTGCAGCGCCCGCTAGAGGACCCACAGGGAGTGCCGCCACGTCAGACAGACACGCGAGAGGTGCCCACGCCCAGAGAGGCTGACCCGTGACCCCAACCACTCTGCCCCGAGGGCCCGTGTCTGGAGGAGGCAGCAAGTCCCAGGCCCCAAGCACTGGTCTCAGAGCCAAGCACAAGGCGAAGCGGCAGGCGGAGGTACCTCTCTGGCCTGGTGTAGGAGGAGATGGAATCCACAGGCGGCAGGGGGTCAAAGCCCATCACAGACTGCGCGGTCACGTCCTGCAGGAAGGGAGAGCAGAGATGAGCCCGCCTATGCTGTGCCTCTGCCTGCTCCCTGCAGCCGGTCAGCGATTCAGGTCTGACTGGCCCTTTCTGCAGGAGGTGCCCAGTGGCCATGCTGT